GGGTTATACCAATGTCATTTTGCTGGTTTTGATTGTATACTACAGTTACTCAAAATTGGAAGATGTTATCATTGGGGAGGACTGGGTGAAAGGTGCATGGGACTTCCCTGGACATTTTTTGCAACTTTATGTGAATCTAAAATGATTTCAAAATGAAGTTTTAAAAAAATTCTATGAAATTCAGATTTCAGTGTCCATAGCTAAAGTTCTATTAGAATATACACACACACACAAATAATTCAAGACTGTGCTATTATACGGGGTCAATTAGAGTAGGAGGAGCAAACCAAGGAAAGTTATTTATCTGTCCTCTTCTTTCCACATCTGAAAATCGGTTTAAGACACAGACCTTATAGGAAAGTTCTGAAGCATGATTTAAGTACAGTTAACATGTGTGCATTGAATAAATACTTGAGATGCAAAAAACCCCATAAAAAGTCCCTGGTTCTCATCGCAGGATGACATGGACAATGTACCTTTCTAAGTTAGTTTTCTCCTCTATAAAAATGGAATTATACCTAACTTTATTATGAAGATTAAATGACACAATATAGATAAAGGTCCCATCACAGCAGGCATATAACAAACTAGAGTTATTAGTAGTTAAATAAAATAAAAATTTAAAATACTTTCTTAGTTCTACTAAGTTAAAGGTTAAAAAATCTTAAATTAGATTTTTTTAAAATTAGGTTTACTGAGGCATAATTTACATAGAGTAAAACTCCTTTTTTAAATTGTGTAGTTTGATGTTTTGACAAATGTACACAATTACATATTTGTATACAGTATACAGTGTGCATTTTTATATAATATAAATGCACATCACCACAAATGTACAAATATATAAAGTTGTAAAGGTATACCATCACAGATAAAATATAAAACATTTGTATTATCCAAATAGTTTCCTAATGCTTCTTTGCAGATTACCCCCTCCCTCCATCATGGGCTCAGTTCCTGGCAACCACAGTCCCTGGCAACGTCTGTCCCTGGTAACAACTGTCCCTATCATTTTGCCTTTTCCCAAATTCATATAAATGGAACCATAGTTTGTAGCCTCTTGTGTCTACCTCCATCATTTAGCATAATGCCTTTAAATTCATCCATGTTGTTTGTATCAATAGTTTATTTTTATGATTGAATAGTTTTTCACTGTATAGACATACATTTATTTGCTAGATAATGGACTTTCAGATTATTTCCAATTTGGGGTGATTATCCATATAACTGTGTAAACATTCATGTACATGTTTTTGTGTTGACGTAAGTTTTCATTTCTCTTGGGTAAATACTAGGAGTAGGATTGCTGGGTCATATAGTAAATGTATGTTAACATTATAAGAAACTGTCAAATTATTTTCCAAAATACCATCATTCTACATTCCCACCAACAACATATAAACTGTTCTGCATCCTCATCAGCACTGGATATTGTCAGGCTTTTTCATTTTAGCCATTCTTGTCTGTAGTGGTATCTTATTGTGGTTTTAATTTGTAATTTTTAATGTTGTTGAATATTCTTCATGTGTGTCTCTGCCATCATCTGTCTTCCTTGGTAAAGTATCTGATCAACTCCTTTGCCCATTTTTAAAGGTATTGTCACCTTATTTTTGAGTTGTAACAGTTCTTATATATTCTGGATACATGTTTTGTTATCAGATATGTGTTCTGTGTATATTTTCTCTCAGTGTACGGCTTGTAATTTTCTTTTTTTTAATTAGTTATCCATCTTATACATATCAGTGTATACATGTCAATCCCAATCTCCCAGTTAGTCACACTCCCCCACCACCGCTCTCCCCCCTTGGTGTCCATACGTTTGTTCTCTGCATCTGTGTCTCAATTTCTGCCCTGCAAACCAGTTCATCTGTACCATTTTTCTAGGTTCCACATATATGCGTTAATATACGATATTTGTTTTTCTCTTTTGGACATACTTCACTCTGTATGACAGTCTCTAGATTCATCCACGTCTCTACAAATGACCCAATTTCATTCCTTTTTATGGCTGAGTAATATTCCATTGTATATATGTACCACATCTTCTTTATCCATTCATCTGTCGATGGGCATTTAGGTTGCTTCCATGACCTGGCTATTGTAAATAGTGCTGCAATGAACATTGGGGTGCATGTGTCTTTTTGAATTATGCTTTTCTCTGGGTATATGCCCAGTAGTGGGATTGCTGCATCATATGGTAATTCTATTTTTAGTTTTTTAAGAAATATCCATACTGTTCTCCATAGTGGCTGTATCAGTTTACATTCCCACCAACAGTGCAAGAGGGTTCCCTTTTTTCCACACCCTCTCCAGCGTTTGTTGTTTGTAGATTTTCTGATGCTGCCCATTCTAACTGCTGTGAGGTGATACCTCATTGTAGTTTTGATTTGCATTCTCTAATAATTAGTGATGTTGAGCAGCTTTTCATGTGCCTCTTGGCCATCTGTATGTCTTCTTTGGAGAAATGTCTATTAAGGTCTTTTTTGGATTGGGTTGTTTGTTTTTTTAATATTGAGCTGCATGAGCTGTTTATATATTTTGGAGATTAATCCTTTGTCCGTTGATTCGTGTGCAAATATTTTCTCCCATTTTGAGGGTTGTCTTTTCGTCTTGTTTATAGTTTGCTTTGCTGGGCAAAAGCTTTTAAGTTTCATTAGGTCCCACTTGTTTATTTTTGTTTTTATTTCCATGACTCTAGGAAGTGGATCAAAAAAGACCTTGCTGTGATTTATGTCAAAGAGTGTTCTTCCTATGTTTTCCTCTAAGAGGTTTATAATGTCTGGTCTTACATTTAGGTCTCTAATCCATTTTGAGTGTATTTTTGTGTATGGTGTTAGGGAGTGTTCTAATTTCATTCTTTTACATGTAGCTGTCCAGTTTTCCCGGCACCACTTACTGAAGAGACTGTCCTTTCTCCATCGTATATCCTTGCCTCCTTTGTCATAGATTAGTTGACCATAGGTGTGTGGGTTTATCTCTGAGCTTTCTCTCCTGCTCCATTGATCTACATTTCTGTTTTTCTGCCAGTACCATATTGTTTGATTACTGTAGCTTTGTAGTATCGTCTGAAGTCAGGGAGTCTGATTTCTCCAGCTCCGTTTTTTTCCGTCAAGACTGCTTTAGCTATTCAAAGCCTTTTGTGTCTCCATACAAATTTTAAGATTTTTTGTTCCAGTTCTGTAAAAAATGCCATTGATAGTTTGATAGGGATTGCATTGGATCTGTAGATTGCTTTGGGTAGTATAGTCATTTTCACAATGTCGATTCTGCTATCTGTTTCTATGAATTTGATTATTCTAGGTATCTCATATAAGTAGAATCATATAATACATGCTAATTTGTGTCTGGCTTATTTCACTCAGCATAAAGTTTTCAAGATTTATCCATGTCATAGTGTGTCTCAGAATTTCCTTCCTTTTTTTTTTTTTTTTTTGCGGTACACGGGCCTCTCACTGTTGTGGCCTCTCCCGTTGCAGAGCACAGGCTCCAGACGCGCAGGCTCAGCGGCCATGGCTCACGGGCCCAGCCGCTCCGCGGCATGTGGGATCTTCCTGGACCGGGGCACGAACCCATGTCCCCTGCATCGGCAGGTGGACTCTCAACCACTGCGCCACTAGGGAAGCCCTTCCTTCCTATCTTAAGGATGAATAATATCCCATTGTATGTATATACCACATTTTATTTACCCATTCATACATTCATCTGTCAGTGGACATTTAGATTGTTTCCACCTTTTGTTTATGTGAAAATGCTGCTATGAACATTGGTGTACAAATATCTGTTCAAGTCCCTGCTCTCAATTTTTTGGGTTATATCTAGACATGGAACTGTTGGATCATATGATAATTCTATGTTTAATTTTTTGAGGAAACCACATACCATCTTGTATAGCAGTTGTGTCATTTTATTTTTTCACCAGCAATACACAAGGGTTCCAATTTCCCCACATCTTCACCAACACTTGGTGTTTTTTGTGTTTTTAATAATAGCCATCCTAATGGGTGTAAAGTGGTGCTCATTGATTATTTTTGCATCTATATTCTTAAGAGATATTGGTCTGTAGTTTTCTTTTTTATAAATGGGTTTAAGTATTTTGGACTGTAAGTAAACAAATGAGAAGTCAAGGATGTCCTGAGGTTTCCTGGCTGCAGTACGAGGCGTGTAGCACAAGAGAGACGCCTGGAAGAAGAGTACATTGTAAAGGGCGGTGAGAAAGGATTGGAACAAAAACTACTGATTTAATATTGTTAATTTTGAGCTCACAAGGACTGTGGGCCATCCTGGTGGAGAGATAAAGTTGGCAATTGAGAAAACATGAGTAAAGCTGGATAAGTCAGTAAGGACCAGAAACACAGATGATGGTAACATCTACCATCTACTGACTGCCTAGTATGTGTTTGGGAATTACCAGCCCAAGTGTAGTAGCTAAAGTCAGAGAAATGTGTGGCTCCTCCCAGAGAAAGAGTGAACTTTGAGAAGAGGGCCAAGAACAGAACCTTGAAGAACCAAAATTTAAGGACTTGGCAGCAAAGAAACAGCCAATAGAGACTGATAAGGAGAAACAAAAATATAAGTGACAGGAGGGAGTGGTATCATGGTAATCAAAGTAGAATATGATGTCAGAAAAGAAGGGAGTAATTTTCCAACGTTTAACTAATGTCAATTTTATTTTCGTCTTTTACCTGTAGCCAGTGAGCATGTCCATCACTGTAACTATTAGTTACCCATCCCTTTTAGTCAGAGCAGAACTGGATTAATAAGGAGAACTGGATTAATAGGGAGTACCCATAAAATAAAATTTATAGCGACAAGGTATAGGTGTTCTTTTTTGCTAATGTATTTCAAGTCTGACATTCTAAATTAAGGTACTTTCTATTTCGATTCTGAAAAGTAAAGATTAACATTTAAAAATCATCTCTAAAATTTGTTATTATCATTTTAACTCAAAAACACATCAGGACAAAACCACACTAGGACAAAACAAAACCCTTCACAACTCATTAGGCATTTTAAAACATTTATTTTAAAAATCAGAATGATGCACTATATTTACTCACATATATTCCTGTTTGTTACCAGTTATTTTCAGCAAACAGACATCTTTAAGCATCTTCATCTGCTTTTATCAAACCTTCAAAGTGGATCCTGCTGCTGTTGACAATCACAGCAGCCTGTTGGGGGTAAAGTATGGGGAGAGAAAAATAATCACATATTCCTCAGGATTCATAAATAATAAAACACTCGAGTGGGTAAAATGTACATACAAATAGTGATATAATTTTCATATACACTCTAAAATGAATAATATAAACTCATCACATATTTATTAACTGTTAATTGACTAACCAAATATTTTGTATGATTTAAAACTATCAAATTCTAGATTTTTGTAGAATAGCTATTAAACTGATGAATACTTATTTAAAATTATAATAATTACATATGTTTAAAGACACAGGTCTTTTGAAAATGCAGTTAAGCACTGCACATGGTAAAGAATCGCCTGAAATTGAGTGTTACTGACCCGACACAATTATTCTGAAGGTAAGAGGAAAACAACATATGGCTTAATCACGGGTACATAAATGTTTCTTTTTCTTTCCACCCCTAAAAATCTCTGAATTCAACAAATACCTTCTAATTGACTTCTGTGTGAAGTTTCAAAGAGAAACAGAGATGTATTGCATGACCCTTGCTTGCGAGAGTTCATTTGTATAGGGAGGCAGACACACATCCATGCAGACAGACAGACATCCACAGAAGAAGCAATGGGAGCATGGAGGTGTTGGAGATGTTCAAGTCTTCAGAGATCATTCTAGATGTTAAAGTAGGACTTCCCCAGTGAAGGTGAAGATGAATGGTGGTAGTGACGGGAGGAGAGCTCGGCGGACAGCACAGAATGAACACTGCCTGGGAAGCAGCCACGTAAAGAGCATCTCCAGAGAAATAAGTGGGGCAATGAATTTGCAAGGTGGTAAGGTGCAGGTACCGAGTAATATGCAAAGCTTAGAAAAATGGGTTGAAGCCAGGTTGAGAGGGTCTTGTATATAGTGTCAAAGATTTTAATTTTTCTTGTGTGGGTGAAGGAGTAATTGAAGGTGAAAGGCAGGGTGACGTGTCCAGGGTTGCCTGAAGGAAGAGAACTCTGCTACTAGGTGAAGGAAGGATTTCCAGCCACATAAAAAGTTTGTATTCTGCTGTAAGGCCTGAATAAAACTTTCCTCATCCTAAAACACAAGAAATTCATTAAATCCAGGAAACAACAAATCCCAATAATTTTTTTCAATCCTATATTTTTTTCACATGACATTCATATAATGGCTCTCTTCAAGTACATGCAAGTTACGATTCTAGAGTTCAGTCACTTCATCTTATAAAGAAATGGACATCAAGAGAAGAGAAGTGAAGGGACTTGATCATAGTTATACTACTTTATCAGGAGGAGAACCCAAAATAGGATAAAGGTCTTGAGAATCCATGTTCAGCCTTTCCTCCACATTACCTGTCATTCAATGATAATATATATTTGTTTGGTAATCATTTTTAAAGAGGTCTGATTTAATTGGAGAGAAGAGAATCAAATATTTTCACCTTCAATGTTTTTAACCACCAAGTATTAAACATTTTTCCAATGGAGGTCCTGAGGGAATCTGTTTTCATTAACAGAAAAGGACATGTATAACTATTTCAATGGTACATAAATGGTTATACTTAAAAATTTGAAGATGACAGAAAAGTAATTTTTTTTTACACTTAAAACCTCCCTGAATCTGTTTCCTTCCTTTTTTTCTTGGCAAAGTGAAAGAAATTTCAGACTAGTCTTATGATAGGTACAGATCTTAAAATAATGAAGCCAAAATTGATTCACATCATATGTAACTTTTGTTGAGTACCTAATAGCAAAGAAATGCTACTAATGAGAGTGGAGATTTATATAAAAACAAGACATAGTCCTACCTCTAGTGGCTTATAATTAAATAGGATTTGGAGCACTTGATAAAGACACATTATTCTTCACTAAAAGTGAATTTAAGAAATGTTATCTCTTTATTTAGATATGCTAATTCACTTATACATATAAAAAACAAAGGACTGTATATAATTAAAAATAAGAACATGTATATTTTTCAGTGAGAAAAAAAATTCATTTGTGAAGAGAAAAAATGGGGAAGCTAAGCAAAGGAAGCTCAGAGGTTAAGTATTATCAATACTGAGCTGAAGATAAATACCACCAACAGTTGTATTATAAGAAAGTGGGCTGAAATGGCTGTCTTTCAGTATGGACACAAAATTACTGAAATATTATTTCTTTTTACTTACTGTGGGTTATTTGGGAGAGGAACAAGATGATTTCAAGTTGGTAAAATAAAGCAAAGTTCCAAGATACATTAATGAAAATGATTTCACTGGAGAAGTATAACTGTGATAGGATATATGTGTTGGATCTACAGGATTTGGTCAGATTCTGGAGGGTCTCTATGTTTTAGCTAAAGTATGGTGACTCCATTCTAAAACGTATGCTAAAGGCAATTCAAATTCATTTAAAATGTCTAAGACAAGAAATGCCATAAAGAAAAAGTCTGTTTTTGGAAGATTCAATAGCACTGGGCTGGGATGTTGTGAAGATAACATAAGGCATTTACTTGGTACCTAATCAGGGTACAATAACTGTCAGTTGTAACAATAATTAAGAGATCTGTATCTTTATCCTGGCTCTGCTACTAAGTAAGTTATGAGCATGAACAACTCTACTTCTCTAGGCCTCAGTTTCCTAACTTAGACAATGGAAGAATTAAACCAGACCATCCTAAGGAGTCATTTCCAGTTAAAAAAAACCAATTATTCGTGTTGAATCCAGACACCAGGGAATAGTCTCACTATGTAAGCAATGTTTTTACCTCAAGCCCCTCAAAGAATAAAGCTAAATAAAGTTTTTCAGGGTCCAGTTTGCATATAATTATTTTGATCCAATATGTACTTGATTTAAAAATGTATAAAATACACACAAAAAACAAAGTTTCCTAAAGTGGTTCTAATACAGAACACTTGAGAACCTAAGTACATAATATTATTTTAAATATATTTAACAACTCAATTCATACAGACTGACAAATGCAATGGAAAAGTAGACCACCGAAAGATTTTAAGAGATTAAACTTCACATTCTGTAAATTCTACAAAAACAATAAACCACTGCATATTAGTACATCACATTAAAATATATTTTAAAGCATACTTCCCCTCTTAAATGGCAGTGATTATACATCAGTGCAACCACAGGGTACTTGTAAACTTTTTTCTGTTCCACATCATTCATGCCCATGATAAATCCTGTTTGGTCAGCTCCACGGTCTTTCTTGGGTCTGAGCTTTTGGGGTTTTCCTATTTTGACAGTTACAGCCTCTACCCATAACTGTAGCCATCCATCCAGAAATGCACACTGTCTGAGGTTGCGGGGAACAGGTGGTATAGAGGTGAATCTGAAGAAATCTCTCACCTTTCTAAGAAAAGGGATGTGATTTAGTGATTGGAGACAAAACTGTACACCATAAGCAGTTTATACTTATCACTTTTTAGGCGGGAGGCTTTGTCAAATTGAATAAGACTCAGGCTAGAGACAGCTTTAGTGTGATTTCTGAGTTCTCTCTCTCTAGGACCCTAAGCGTTAGGGAAGGGGAGATTAAGAAAGGATTTATGTCGACTGACTTCATCTTAGCTTTGCTGTTAACGTGCCACTGAGAGGCTGATGATAACAGATGTTTCTTTATTAAAAGGACCTGTCCACTCGAGCTTTAATCAAATAAACTGCGTTTTTCATATATTGAGATTCTTGAGAGCTAGTGACAAATTCAAGCTGGAATGGGATATGTCACAAAGCAAAGACTCTTTTCTGTTTTCATCAAGATGTGGTCGGTGGCTGTCAGGAAGTCCTTAGCCTGTGTGCTGGCGAGTTAACCAGTGAACACAGATCAACTAACGACAGGGCACTGACGGAAAACGGCTTCTTCCCTTGAGATCCAAACATCATCTCAACTTGATTCTTTTTCATCCTCCTGGCAAGAAAAGGTACATCAAGTTCCTTCAACACTAGGGAAATCTCAAAATGTTTATTCATTCACCTCCCTTTAATTTAAAGTATGCACACTTTAACGGCAACAGAAAAGTGAATTATCAAATTTCAGTCGTAAATACTGACACGACAGGTTAAATATATTCCGTGGTCATTATGTACGTATGTATTTTTCCACATTACTGTTGTCTGCTTCAGGTCTAAGATGCTGTCTCCCTTCTGGCATTTCCTCCTCTAAGCAAGCTCTTCAGCATAGAATAGCATCTCGAAGGTCGAATCTTCTTGCTCAAGGTAAGTGGTCGGGATTTGACTCTTCCTTAGAAAACACTGGGCTGGGTCTCATTGGGAAGCCTTGTGTGATCCAATCAGATTGCTTTTGAACAAAAAGAGGAGTCAAAGAGAACTTGGGTTTCCAGATAAAAATAAAGTGCTGCCCCCTATAAATCACAGTCTCTGTGGAGTAAGGTGTCTTCCTAAAGAGGTAGAAATAATAGGGGGTGTATGTTGCAGATGCCCGCATTTCAATGATAATGAACACTGTATCTTTAAGGGCTGCATCTTTAAGGGCTTAAAATGGACTGACTCCACTCATCTCTCTGATTTTTTCATAAGTAAGCCAGAACACCAGTGACCAAGGGGTCTGAAAGATTAATCAAAGAAGTTAGTGCATATTTCAAAGCAATTATAAATCTTCTACACATATGCATACACATCTTTGAATGATGAACTCATTTTGAATCCACTTAGGCTGAAAACAAGTATTTTGGTATTTCACCGTTGTAGAGCACCTTATAATTTACAAAGCATTTTCATGTCTTATTTCTCACAGATTTCTCTGAACCATTTACAATGGAAAGGAAAGGTACTGATATCCCTATTTTACAGATGAGGACACTAAGACTTAGCAATCAGATGCCTGTTAGCATGTTGTGGAGCTAGACCATGGGCTTCTGGCTTCCATTCCAGGGTTCCTTTTACTGACTGTTACTGGATAAAAGGCTAGGGCTCAGCGTGCCTGAATTCTAGGCTGGGCTCCTTGCCTCTACATGTAGTTTACATATGGAGCATGACAAGGGGGCACTTAAGAACTTGAAAGTGAAGATGAAAGATTATCCTTTGAGAGTTAGGTCATAAAACCAACACCTGGTGTATCACCTAATAAATATAAAAATTCACATTAAATGGAGAAAAGGGCTTTTAACTCAAAGAACTGACTATGAAGGTGTAACTGTGCCAAAAGGAATTATAAGGGAATGAGGATTATTCAATAACAGAAGATAAAAACGCTAAAGACACAGAGGGAAAATCACCGAGGAAACACTGGAAGCAGCCATCAGAGAAAGTGTGTCTCGGATCCAGTCCTCATCTGGTTTGGTTGATAGGTTATGCATAATATTGATCAGAGAGGAACTCTGATCACATTAGAGTGGAGAAATAAGCTTAAGCAATTAGAATGTAAAATGTATTTGGTTAGAAAGTTTGTAAAGTGATATTTATGTCATTCGTGTTTGGAAATATTGAGCAAGTTATACTGGTAGACTGAGAATATAATAGTGGATTTAGGAGAAGACATCTTAGTGAAATGTACGAAGACACAGACAAAATAAAGAAGTTGTGACGAAACCACAGTCTTGTGACAATAAAAATGAAGTGAGCCAAGGATATGACTGCAGTTGGATCTAGAAGCAGAGGTCTTAGTTAAGAATGGACTAGGCAATCATTCCTACTTGCTCTGGTAATCAGACTTCTTCATAGCACCCAAACTATATGCAAATGAAATAAATATTCATCAGGGATTGAGCAAAGCGAGGTCATATTTTCTCTAACTAGTGGAAGGAACTGGGATTGGGTTTAGCTGGGTTTTGAAGAGGAGTTAGAGGAAGATCATACAGCCAAGTAGCACGCATAGTATATAAACGGGATATACTGAGACTCTTCGTAGACGCGCGTGTGGCCAGTACATGCTTTTACTTGTTTTTTCCTCACTGGCATAGTTGTACCACCGAAAATAATCCAAGTGTATGTGAACCCATGTTGTCGTAACTGCTGGAAAAAAAAAGTTTTTCTCCATTCCTATTACTGTGGGGCGCAACACATAAGTGCTCTTGGGTGTATCTTTTTCAATATTAAGTTCACAAATAAGCTTTTCCTGTTATTGTTCTGTGTTCAGCAAGCAACCTTCTGATTATAACTTGGCTCCCATATAGCTTGAAGTTAGCTGTCCAGAGGACTTCAGCATCTGGATCACTGGCCAAGTGTATGTCTCAGTGTGGCTGAGCCAACGTTGTGGTCCAGTCATCGGTTTCAACGAGCTGGGCTGAAGGGCATCTGTATGTGCAAGGCCAGTTTACTCGGAAGTGCTCAGGAGTTAGGCTTCTAAGCTCAGGGTTCTGCACTGCGATAGATCAACAAGGCAGTGCCACCCTAGTCATCTGTGGTGGTAATCCAGCCTGTCTCTGGTAACATTTCTCCATCACCACGACCTGTCTCTTTTCTTTTAAAACTTCTATAATGAGCTGTAGGATCTTGAGAAATTCAGTATACTGTCTTAGTTAGGAGCATGGGTTTAGTTAGAGTTGAACAAACTTGCAGTTAATTCCCAGCTCAGCCATCTACTAGCTACATGAACTTGAGTGAGCTTCTTATATACCCTGAGCCATGTTTTTCTAATCTGAAAAAGGAGGATAACCCCACCTATTCTACTAGGTTCTTGTAAGACTTAAAAAAATAATTAATGTGTGCAAAGAGCTTAGCACAGAGCTTGTCATATATTAAGCACTCATTTTTGGGGTCATGTATACTTCGTGAGTCTCACGTATAAAGAGAATGGGTCAGATCAGCTGGTCTCAGCGCTCCTTTGTACGTGATATTCTCCCTGCCCCTCACTTCTCCTGACCGATTTTGTTTTTCATCAGTGGTCTCACCCGTCCTCATAGTCTCTCACACTAGAAACATCAAAGTCCCATTTCCTTCTCTCTCTCCCTCCCTTTCTCCATCCGATCATTTACTAAGTCTTGTGGAGTCAAGCACAAATGTTCCTGGAATCCATCTCCTCTCCATTTCTACAATCATCTCCTGGCTAGACCACTGCCGAAACGCCCTTTCTTGCGTTCTAGCTTTCAGTGTAGCTTTGACATTGCTGCCACAGTAGTCTTGTCCCCAAGCAAATCTTAGCACATGGCTTGCATGTTCAAACAGATGCTTGCTACCTGCAGAGTTTCACCTAAACTATTGAACTTGCCCCCCAAGATCTTTCTCAGCCTGGTCCCTAAGTGCTCCTCTAGCGTTCCCTCCCACCACCTGCCCGCTGAGGACCTACTGTCCAGCTGCACGGAATTTTCTGCAGTTCACCAGACGTGACTTGGTGCCCCTGCTCATGTGGCCCCCTCATGCTTTTCTTGACCTACTGATCAAGAAAACACCTACTGATCCTTCAAAGCTCAGATCAAATATCACCTCTGGGAAGCCTTCTGGGACTTCCCAAAGAGTTCAAGCCATTTTACTCCACTACCTGCGTTCTCCTCTTTTGTTCACAGCACTGGTAGCCTCTTTAGTAAGACTATGTCCTCTGGAGTCAGACTGCCTGGGTTTGAGTCCCTGCCTCCACAGTTACTAACCACCCGGACCGGTCAAGTTATTCAGACACTTTACGCTATTGTTTCCTCCTCTATAGAAGAGAGAGATGATAGTAACCTACTAAATAGATAGTTGGGAGAATTCAGTGAGTTAATCTGAGAGCATGGTTAGCATAGCACTGGCCATATACCAAGTGATTTAGTAATATTAGCTTCATAATTTCTGTAATTTTAACTACTTACGTGTCTATCTTCTCCCATCACATTGTACGCTCCTCTAGCGCAAAAAAAAAAAAAAATAAACATCTTATTTCTTGGTGTTACCAGCACTTGTAATAGTGCCTGGTTCATGCAGGCCAAGTCAATATCTTCCTTTCCATTAAACAGCCACAGATTTGAGATAACTTCAAGGTACAATCAAGACAATCAAAATTGTATTTCACAACTTAGGTATGCTTTTGTATCAGATATTGCCAAGGGCTTTGGCTATTAATTTCATGTTAATAGATAGATACCTACTACCCTTGGTGCTGTCATTTATCCCCAAAGCTTCAGTTATTATCTGTGTGTAGACAGTGCTCAAATCTCAATCTCCATCCTCATGATTCTAAGATCCAGGCCAATATATTAAGCTAGTCATCTAGATGTCTCTTCTTAGATGACCTATGAGTATCCCAAACTTACCATATCCAAACTAAACTTGTCATTCTACCACAAAATCTTCTTCCCTGCAAATGGTCCCCATTTTAGGAAATTATATCACTGTTTGCTCAGGGCAGGAATCTGGGAATGAAGCCCGACTTTTCCTTGCCTTCTCCAACCATTTCCCCATCCAGTCATGTTCTTTTTTAGCTCCTTTCTAAATATTTTAAAATTCTATCTTCTTCTGTCCCCATTGCTATATTCCAGTCCAAGTTATCATTACCTGTCATCTGTCACTACTCCTGGTCTTTCCTCAACCCGCATGGCAGCCAGAATGGTCTTGCTACAAGTGCACACGTCATCAAGCCAATGCCCCTCACTCTCAGGGGTCCTGTGGCCCCTCCTGATCTGGCCCCTGCCTGTCTCTGGCCTCACCCTGTGCTGCTCTCCTCCACGTCTCCGTGCCTTGGACAGCTGGGTTTTCTTCAGTTCTTTGAACGTGTCATATTCTTTGTCCACTCCATCTAGTTCCTCCATCTAGAATGTTCTTTTCTGCCCTTTTGACCTGGCAAAGTCCTACTCATTCTTCACATCTCAATTCAGAAGTCCATTCTCCAAGGAGGTTTTCTTAATCTCCCAGGCTAGGCTGTCCTTACTTGCTATATATATTCTGATAGCACCAGGGATCCCCACCCCATGCCCCCGACTCTTCCATTCATTGCTGCTGGTTTCTTACTCAGTGTTTGTCCTGACCTAGACTGGAAGCTCCTGACCTAGACTGGAAGCTCCAGCACTGGAGCAGGGGCTGAGACTCTTAGGTTCATCCCAAAGCCAGGCATTGAGTACAGGGCTTTGCATGGAGTAGGTGCTCAGTTAATATTATTATATCATATTGTGTACAGTATTGATTGTTTGAATTTCTAAACCCATAACTCATCCATTCTTTCAAATATGTTCAAACTTACCAAATACTTGAGTACCTTGTTTTTATTATATTTGTTATGTTACTTCCATAAGTCTATCTAATTCTACATCTTAGTTCACTTCAATAAAAAATAGCATCTAGACCAAATAAAAATTATATAATGTTTTCTTCCTAAGCAGAGCTTTGTGGTGATAAGTATTAATGGGTAATGCAACATTTATCATCAAAGTAACTAATTTTGTTTGAAACAGTAACATTTTGATAGGAATGGTCTCTAGTAATGAAATCTGTATACCTGTCTCAAAGTACAATATTTTGGCTAAATAGCAAAAGGCTTTACATTTCAGAACAATCTATCCACTGGCTTTCTAACAACATAATATCAACCTATTCATTTCTGATGTAACTGAATTATTTTACCTTAATCTACCAAGGGACTTGGAGGTAAAAGAAAATGAAAAGAGATGTAGGAAAGAAAGAAAGAACTATGATTGGGGGCAGAACCATGCCAAAAGCCAGAAGAGAAAAGGAAAATATTTAGAAAGGAAAAGTGATTTAAGAATCAATATAAAGAAAACAAAAACAAAGGCAGGAAAAACCTAACTTTACCATTCGCAGCCAGGAGGGTAAAAAGCCTTTATAGAGACTCATGAATCCTTCTCCTTGAACAGCCTGAATCAAGCAGTCAGTTGATGATTTATACAGAAGGCCCCTAAAAAGGAAAGAAGACAATTTTGTTAAATTTCTTATGTGTAAATAGATGTATAAATAGAATGTTTAAATGGTCTAAGAAAAGTTACTTAACTATTTTCTGCTAGCTTAGAAAAAATAATATTGGTGGTTCTTTATATAGAGAGCACCTCTTTTGGGTTTAAAGATATTTTCAAGGTTGAGTTTCCTGATTCACCCCATCCTTGGTCTGATAACTTAGAATTCACTCCACCTGATCTCTTCCAGAGAGAACATACTGTTTTATATCAGGTCAAATTACCCATGTTACCTCTAAGTCATAAGCTTCTGAAGGAAGTGCTCTGGAAATTGTCAGCAGAGTATATTTTCAAAAACTCTTTGAAAACAACAAGGTCATAATAAACACCTTGTGTCTAAATAACACGATGGGTAAATTAGCTTATTTCCCCAAAGGCACAGTACTTTTCCATCAGACACAAAGCAGGTAACTGCATAAAAACAACTTCCTGGTTGCACACATGTAAACACAAAAATACATTTCCATCAAGAATAAATACAGGGAAGGGTCTTTAAAGAACAATATTATTACAGACATTCAGATCCATGGATACTGAAGACTTTCTGTCTACCTTCCTTGTTTATCTCGCGGTTGGTTCATTATTCGGCTTTTGATGACATCAGCAGGTGTTCCCAGAATAGAAGCTACCAGTCCAGAACATAAACTATAGATACAAATAAATGAAATCGAAAGATAATATGTAGCAGTTTCTAAATTTTAAGGAAAGGGGATTTGATATTTAGAAAGAATGGAATAATAAATCTAGTACTATAATATTCTTCGTAATAATGCTCTTTTAGCTTAAAATCAATGATAAATTAATTCATTAAAGAGGTAGAAAAAAAGAAGAATCTCCAGTCAACAAATATACGTTGAACATCTGCTGTAGGCAGGCACTCTTGTAGGCAGTAAACAGGACAGATAAGATCCTGGCACTTACTCAAGGCACTTACTTGGGAGAGGCAGAAGAGAAATGAATAATTTCAGATGTGGTTAGTGCTATGAAAAAAATAAAATGAGATCATGTGATAGGGAGTAACTGGGTGACAGGCAGTCATGGAAAGGCTCGTGGGTGACGGCAGGTCTCGACATAGATGCTTCCTTCTCACCAGCTAGATGAGAGACTAAAGAAGCAGGCAGAGAAGGCTAATTTAAGGAGTTTGATTTATTCTCGATGCGAAGGGAAGTCATTGAAAGGATCGTAAGTGGGGGAATCACATAATTTGGTTCATAATTACCCCCTCTTGAGAAAGGCTTCTGGTCAGTTACTCAAGACAGACAAAATGGATGTGGCCAACCCACTACAGAGTAAATCAAGATTCTGTAAATGAGTGACTGAAGACCAGTTCAGAGACCACCATCAGTTCATTATGAGTGTGGGCATGAGCGAGGCAATACAGGAACATTATCGACATCCCATAACCCGAGGACCCATTAACTGCTGTAAACTTTTCCAGGAGAAACACAGATGACGAGAAGGGGGGTGGCTATCCTGAACCACAGGAAATGGGAGGCCCAGGACCCAGGAGGTGGCAGCTAAGTCCACAGACTGGGATCGGGGGGTTAGACTGGGCTAATGGAAAGCTAGAAAGAAAAACTGTGGAAAACTTTTATGTCCTTCTGGAACATCAAGTACCTCCCAGAGATAAGGATCCCTGAGTTCCATGCCAAGCAAGGCCTCTGAAGTTTCTGAAGGCTCTGTGGCAGGGCGGCTGAAGCTGCATTAGGAATCTTCACACTGTATTGCTCTAACCTGCTGCAGCAGGAAGTCCCCAAGCTCTTTATGACTCTTGCAGGTCAGAACTGATTGTTCAAAGTAGAAACTCACTTCAGGAATTCTCGAATTCAAGAGAAGGAGCCCATACGACCTATTTACATCTTCCAGCAAATGACCCGACCGTGCATGTAACTTTTCTTGGGCCTTTGTCCACATGACAGGCATTGCCTATGTGGAAAGAACTTACTGTTTCACCATATATATCCCAGGAGGTGTAGACTGCTGCTCTTTTAACATTCTTTCCTATTTGTTCAGATACTTTGCAAGTCCAAGTTTAATATCATTTATTTTAATATACCTTCACGTTTTTACATAGAAATGTCTCAACTAACACAAAATTCACCTACGTTCTAAAACTTAGGTCTACTAGAAACAGCATACAAGATCAATCAAGAGGTAAGGAAGAACAAAGAAACAGGATAGAAAAAGGTACACAATTTCCCCCTCTTGGCTCAAAAGATTGGAGGGAAACGCTACAATTTTACTCATCCATTTGCTTCAGAGAGGCTGGGTGCCAGCTCTGCTTCACACATAAGAGCCAAGAGTAGAAACGACTTCTACCAGAGTGTTAATATTATTAATAAATTCTATTTTTTTTTTTTTTTTTTTTGCTGTATGCGGGCCTCTCACTGTTGTGGCCTCTCCCGTTGCGGAGCACAGGCTCCAGACGCGCAGGCTCAGCGGCCATGGCTCACGGGCCCAGCCGCTCCGCGGCATGCGGGATCCTCCCAGACCGGGGCACGAACCCGCGTCCCCTGCATCGGCAGGCGGACTCCCAACCACTGCGCCACCAGGGAAGCCCGTATAAATTCTATTTTTTAAATGTAGGTAGCCCTCATTAATTAGTAGTCACTAACTAATTAATTTACTATTAAAGGATTTATTTTTACCTGTATAATAACCACATCAAGAATGCCCTTTGGCAACTGTCGCCCCATGCGGCACACAGAGACCTTAGGGGCAGCTGCCAGTGGTCTGCCTCATCCCCTTCTTATCAAATTGTTTTGAGGAGGTAGTGTGATCTGGCTAGGCTCCTTTAAAAAAAAAATATTGAAAGAGAGCAAACAGCATATTAAGGAGGCCGCAGGTAAGATGGTCAAAATGAGAAGAGAGAGGAGTAAAAGGAACGTCAGTTTCATCAAGCTACTTGGCATGAACATTGCTGCTTTTTGCTACTGACCTTTATCGCTCCTTGCTAGTAACACCCCAAAGTGAGGCCCAGGACATGGCTAAAGTGATAATGGACCGAGAGTGATTGGGTAAGTCTTCTGTTCTCTCTAGGAGACCAGATGGCCATCTGCAAGGCTAGTTTGTAACAGTCCATCAGCACTGTCAGAATCAGCAATCCTCTTCAGGATCGACTAGATAATCATGCTCATCTGTGATCATCACACAGTGTAAGCTAACCTTTTGCACAGTTTTACCTCTCAGTAGCCTCGTGATTTAAAAAGAGGGAAGAGGGAATTTTTCTGGCTTTTCTGTTCTGTATAATTGCCTGAATTAATTCAACACCCCAGCTTTCTGCTGCATCCCGTAGTAACGTACTTTGCCACCTGCCTCCCCACCTCCCTAAAATCCTAGCCACAGTCTTCTGCTGCTCCTCCCTCGCCCCAGAACTTCATTTTACTTACACTATTGTTTTTAATTGTGGTAAAATATACATAACGTACAATTTACCGTTTTAGCCATTTCTGAGCACATGGTTCAGTGCTTGCGCCACTTTTACTCCTCTTCTTCGTACCAGATTCCTCTCCCTCAGATGCTGACGGCTCGTATCAATCTCTCGACTGCACGGCTGCAATCCCCTTCGAACCTCCATGATCGCTCATTTTACCCCGTGACACAGCCTGCAGAACTTCCAGATTGCACAGCACTGTTTACCTACTTAGCTGTGAGTTTGTGGTTAGCGACTTTCAAGCTGCCTCATGTACCCACAGACTCCCACCAACCCAGTTAAAAACCTGATCCAGTGTGTGGAGCTCAAGAAGGAGCCAAGTACCAGTCACCCCATTTTCTTAAAACCTGACTTAGAGTACAGTAAGGCGAAGTTATTTCAGATTAGGGCTGGAACACAGTGATGGGAAATCCTATGTCTTTCCAGAAAAGACAGATCCATTAGGTAGAGTCGGGTCCGTTAGGCAGATTTACACCTGCTGGGAAATTCTTGAATCTTAAGTTAGAAGTGTGGCATTTTGAAGACCATTTGGGTAGAAAGACAATGAAAAAGAAACAAGAGGTAACATCACTGTGGGACTGTTAGAACTGAATATCCTGCTCCGAGAATAGATCATAACACTGAACAGACAAGCCTCTTGAAAGACAAGAGTATCTCTCAAGATGATATGGGTAGAATGATTGACTGGGTAGAAACTGGGGAAGAGTCTCACAAGCAGAGCGAACAGCATGGACAAAGATAGTGAAGGGAAGAATGTAAGGGTGGGTACAGATATCCTAAGGATGTTTATAGGACAGAGGCCTAAAATCCTCAGTCTTCTCTGTGAAAGAGGTGGCTGGACGACTGGCTACAGAAAATATGGTGTCGCTTGTGAACACACCTGGAGGAAAGTTCGGAATGTGAAAGAAAGCTGAGCAAAGACAGAAAGATTGCCCTAGCGGCACTAAAGATAACACTTACTTTAAAAGAGGAAGAAAAAAAAAAAAAGAGGAAGAACGAAGAAAAACTACTCTAGGAATATTAAGGTGACCCTGAAATTTGGAACCGTTTACATCTATGTCTATTTGTATGTCTCCAGATATCACTAATTTGGCACTTCTCACATACTTTCAGGGTTGTCTAAATAGCATAAAGGGTCTAGAATTTGGAAACAGGATCAGAACCTAAATAGAATCACAAGGACCCTCGACATCTATAAAGTTAACTCACTCTAATGGATAATTTGAACTTGTGTTGCAAAGAATTTAAGCTGTTTCTCTTTCCTAGGATGCTCTTCTTTATCGTGTCTCTGTCCGTCACAAGCCACAGCCCTTCAAAACACTTATCTAATTCTGTCTCCTTCGTAGGCCCTTCTGAGCGGTTATTTTTTCTCTCTGCACCTCCCACCCCAACTCTACAGTAACTAGTTCCTTTCTTTTAGCACTTACTGTACAGTCTTTTTACACTAGTCTTGTTTTTTTCCCCTTGGTACGCTCCCTGGGAAGGAGTGTGGTTTACCTTTTGTATCCACTGCAGGGCCTTGCACAGTGCCTTTAACCTAAACGATGCTCAGATATACCCGTTGAATTGAGTTGGAGAATCAGTTATCAGAATCTGACCCTGGGATGGCCCCATCAAGGTGCAAATATTTGGGGAGGTTTAACCTGAAGCATTCTGCAACTCTGCCCCTCCCTTCCCCATTTTAACTGCAATAAACTTTTAAGAAAATTGTTCTTTATAAATGTACTATTGCCTTTCTTTAAGGGTGATATCAGTAGGTTCTCAATCGTAAGAGACAAAAGTTAGAATTTATGCCAAATATGGAAGAAAGGGTGAGATAGGAAAAAATAGAAAGAGACAAACTAAAACAGTCTTACCTTGATAAGCCATGAGTCATGATATTGTCCTCCAGTGGTGTATTCAAAACCAAGTAGTGTTTCACTGTATCGTAAGTGGTTAAATCTGGCAATACATAGAAAAAGAAAGCTTAAATATCATTCATTCAACAATGAATGTCTTTTGTGTCAAGAATGCGCTAAGAATGGGGCAGGAATGTGTAGAAGGATGAAAGATCCCATTCTTGTTCTCAAGCAGAGGAAAGCAGATGGAGGGGGAGGAAAAGAGGAAGAGAGACAGACACCCAATTGTATCATTTGAACATCTGAATCCAGCTCTGCTTAGTCAGTTCAACCCCTGCACTTTTCAGTGTTGGAGCTGATAAATTCCTTTTTTTAGCCTAAGTTAGGTTGAGTTGAGATTCCGTCACTTTAAACAAAAGGTCCTGGTCATTATTCTACATTAAGTTTTGTATACTTTTTTCCTAATGACAATGAAGAGCTGTTGAAGGGTTTTACACAGGGGAGGGATAGATCCCAATACTGGAGTTTTGTAAAGATTACATACACCAAAGTACAGAGAAGGGAATTGGAAAGAGGTAAGAATGGGTAGATGCATTTTATCATTCACCAGATATCTGAGCACCTGCTGTGTGGTAGGCGCTATTCTAGGCTCTGGGGAAAGAGCCGTGGACAAAATGAACAAAATCCCCATTCTTTGTTGGAGGCTGAGACAATAAACAAGTAAGTAAACACATGGCATTTCGGATGGTAGTGACTGCTGAAGACAAGGCAAGGAGAGGGGACAGCGAGCGTGTGAGGGTGGGGAAGGTTGGTGTATGTGAATTTAAATAGGGTGATCAGGGAAGACCTCGCTATAATATTTGAGCAGATACCTTAAGGAAGCTTGAGAAAGTACACTTTGTAGATATCTATGACAAAGCGTCCCGGGCAGAGCCACAGCGTGTGTTATAGCCCTGAGGCAAAGTCAGCTTTGTATGTTAGAAGAACAGCAAGAACACTAGTTTAACAGGAGCAGAGGCAGCAAGAGTTGGAGAAGGGGATGATTTGAGCAAAGGAGTGACTGACCGGGGCCACGATTTACAAGATCACTCTGGCTGCTCTGTTAAGAGTAGACTATAGGGAGACAAGGCAGATTAGATATGTGGCTGTCGCGGTTCTTCTGGTAAGAAATGATGGCGGCTTGGATAAGAAATGATGGTGGCTTGGATAAGAAATGATGGCGGCTTGGATAAGAATGACAGCGGCTTGGATAAGAAATGATGGCGGCTTGGATAAAGGCGTTGTGGAGTGCTGGTCAGAGTTCGGGTGTTTTGAAGACAGAATCAACAGGATCAACAGGCATTGGCCAGCAGATTGAATATGGAGGGAAGGAAAGGAAGCAAAAATGACGGCAAGGTTTTGAGCTTGAACAATTTGAAGGACACAGCTGCCATTTATGCAGATGGGAAAATGAGAATGGACTAATTTAAATGTTTTAAGGTAAGATGAGAGGCCCCAGTGATCCTGATTAGAAAAATTTCAGATGCACAGTGGGACAAAATGGCTGTGGGGTGTATGTGGGGAGACTAGTTAGGAGACATTTGTAGTGGTCCAGTAGGAGGAGATCAATACTACTTGGACAGAGCAGTGGCTCCAGGGATGAAGGGAAGTGGATGAACTTGAGATATGTATGCAAGACAGAACTGGCTGGATTTGGTGACTGGTTGGCTGTAAGGAGCAAGGGAAAGCAAAGAGATCAAAATCAGGCCCAGGTTTCTGGGTTGTTCAACTAAAAAGATGATGATATCATATTTTGAGATTGGGAAGAACAGAGAAGGAAGTGATTCAGTAAATGAGCTTGGGTTGGACACATTCAAAGTGATATATTTAAGATAAGCTGGAACTTGAAAGAGAAATCTGGGCTGCAGTAGATTTTGAAGCAATAAATTGAGAACGACAATCTGAAAGGTTTTCTGAAAACCAAAATATCCACCAATATGATGCAGCAGACATCAATGGACTGAAATAGCAGTATATAAAATAGATTTACTCCCTTTGATGTTTGAGTGATATGTTACTATACCTCTCAAAAATGCTATTTATCAGGTTCTTAGAATCATATAATTTTGGTCTTAGGAGTCTTTCATCCATTGATTCATTCACTAAATGTTTGTTGATTATGTACGAGGGACTGGGGAAATGAAGGAAAATGAAACAGTCCTTGCCTTCAGGGGGCTCAAAATCTAGAGGAGGAGATAGACACATAGTAGAAAGCAATGAAATGAGGTAAAACCGGTAACAGAGATAAGCACGGGGAACTATGGAAACATATAAAGGGGCATCTAACACACCGTGACCTGGGAGGGGCGGCTGCAGGAGGTCTGGGTAAAGTACACGGGTGGGGAAGACACCTCAGCTATGTATGAAACGATCTGCAGAAGAAAACTAAACAGAAGAAGAGGGATGAGGACAGAGAGTACAGAGGTGAGGAAGAGTCTGGTGTGTGCGGGCAGTGGAACATTTTAGCTCTGGACTCTGCTTCCCTCTCTGCTCCAGAGTCAATGAATTGCTCAACCCCAGAAGACACAGGTTGGATTATACAGGCCTGCTGTGTTATGTTATGAAATTTCCACTTTATTCTCTGAGTGATAAGAAGCCAGTGAAGGGTTTTAAAGATACCAATAACATGTTCAGATCTGTATTTTAGATAAAGCTCGATGGATACTGGGTACAAATTTGAGGGCAGAGGAAGAGACCAGTTAGAGGGCTGTGGCAGTGGTCTAGTTGTGTTTTGATGGTTACTACTGTAAAAACAGTCATTTTAAGGATACTAAGGTAGTAGACATGAGGGGGGAAACTTTCTTTTAATTGAAATATAGTTAATGTATAATGTTATGGTTATTCCAGGTGTACTACATAGTGATCTGACATGTGCATACATTATAAAAAGGTCACCACAATAAGTCTAGTAACCATCCGTCCCCATACAAAGTTATCACAATATTACTGTAATAGTTCCTTATACTGTATATTATATCCCTGTGGCATATTTATTTTATAACTGGAAGTTTGTACCCCTTAATCCCCTTCACCTATTTTGGCCTCCTACCCTCCTCTCCTCTGGCAACCTCCTGTTCGTTCTCTGCATCTATGAGTCTGTTTTCATTTTGTTTTGTTTTGTTTTTTAGATTCCACATTGAGATCACATGGTATTTGTCTTTCTCTGTCTGACTTATTTCACTTAGCATAATACTGCAGGGAGGCATTTAAGAAATATTTAGAAGATAGGAGAAATTAATGACTGAATATGGGAAGCGAGAGATGGGGATGAGTTAAGGAAACATTCAGATTTCCAGCCGGAGGTGCCCAGCTGTACAGAATGGATTATACGGCAAGAGGAGCAGGATTACTGGGGGGAAAGATTTGTAGTCTGCATTTAATGACCATCACATACGGTACATATACCAGTTTGAATCTGAGAGGAAGGTATGGTGTGGAGCATAGCCCTTAGAAATGGTTTGGTATTATCTCCTTATCGTCACAATTTGCTGGTTTTAGGAAATCCTTTTCATACATCAGCATAGAGTAAAGTGAAAATATTCTAGGGAAAATATTCAATTATGACATTATAACATAAGGGAAGACTGTTGCCAGTACATATTATTAAAAATAATAAAATACATATTCTCATTTTCCCCGATGGAGTGCTTATAATTAAAATGATGAAGGCGATTAGGACTTCGCAGAATTCAATGAAGTTTCCATTACCTCCCATATTCACCAGCGCTGCTCTTTGTATATTGGGTACCCAGCCTGCCCAAAGCCCACGTATTCCTCCTTCAGCTAAGATTTTTGCAAATGCGTGATGCACACCACGAAATCTAAAGGAAAATAATAATAAATGTGAAAACTCTATGCGTTCCTGTGTTTGGAATGCAATTGTATAAGCTTTGCCTATAGCTGTTATGATTTAGAGTAAAGTAACATCTTAACTATCTAGAATTGTTAGAAATTAAAGCAATCCACGTAAGTCTAATTTCCAGATAAACTTATTAGTTTTTTAGAAGAAAGGCCCACTTTTGATTTAAACACTTTTTTATGGAGAGCTTTATAAACTGTGACATCCTCTTCTCAGATTATTAAACAGATTAAAACTCCTTTCTTGATATTTTACATCATCTGTGCCCATATTAGCTATAGGCAGGAATAGTGGTTCAGACCTCTGAGTTCATTTTACTAGTATTGTGGGAGACCTTCAAATTTTGCAATTTTACCAAATAACATCAAAAAAAATCAATTCTCATATCATCTCATAAAAGAAGTGATATTTTTAGACCAAAAAGGAGGGAGGAAAATTTCATAAGAGTTCTTAAAACTGAATACTTTGGGCTTTATGAAAATTTATTATCTTGCCTTTATTTTGCACATTTTTCTATACACAGATGAAAAATGGTGCTGAACCATGAACCGAATGTGGAAACCTATGATATAAAATAAAAGCCTGGGTTTTATATAGTCAGACATACCTGGTGTCAAATGCCATCTTACTACTTACTAGCTGTGTGGCTTCTACTCAGGCATTAAACTCTCTGAGTCTTACCAAAAAGAAGGACATTCATAATTGCTATTATGCTATATAAGAAATATGCTCACGAATGAGGTCACATTAACAATTGCACATTTATTGTGCACTTATTAAGCACCAGATTTTTTATATACATAAGATACAAGTTATTCCTGAAAACTCTATGAAGTATGTATTATTATTCAAATTTTCATCTGAAGAAACTGAGGCTTAGGGAGGTTAAGGAACTTGACTAGGGTAACAGAGCTAAAATGTGGCAAAGGCTGGATTTGAATTCCAGATTGTCTGATCCCAAGGTTCATGCTCTTTACAACATTAAATACTTTTTCCTATTATATCAAACCCAAAATGTCCAACATTAGAGACAGAGAAGGAAAAACATTGAGGTGATCAGTTAAAACTCAGACATTGCTGGACCCCAACGGTTCCTTCTCTCCATGTATCAAACCAAGGCAACATTACTTCACCCTGCTACATAGTAATCAGAAGTTGTTACAGGATGACAAAACGGGTCCTGGGATTCTGTAAACTACTTGGTTAAGTCAGTGCGGTACCCTTTTCTCCTCTGCTGTACATGTTACTCATCTCCCTGTTGGGAAGGGGGCCTGGACTGCCACAGCCCAACCCCACTTTCCACTGAGTCAGCTGGAAGAGCAGCAGAGCAGAGGGCAGTGATCGTGGTGAACCTCCAAAGGAGGCCCCCAACCCCCCCGACCTCTGGCTCAGCGGCACACCCGCAGTGTTCAGAGGATCAGACCCCTTCATACTCAACTCAGGGCATCCTGCACTTTTCCTCTTTCCTGGGAGAGGTCTGTCTATCTATCTGCAAGACTTGCCCCTTTCCCAGGGGAAACTGCCTAAGTGGTATTTTAGTAAATTGTTGAACAAGAGGCCCTTTGAAGAAAGGCAGACTTTGACAATATAGGGTAGTGCAATAGGAGGATTTTATATCACAACAGCATAATAATAATAAAAATTTGGGAAAAGAGGAGCGAAATTAGGGAAGGAGGAACAATTTGCAAGGTTCACCTTGCTGTTTCCCTTCCTTCAGAGAGAAAGGGAAAGAAAGCAAGCTTTCTGGCACCTGATGAGCCAGGCACTCTGTCAAACCATCTGAGACAGTCCCTTTTAAAGATGAAGAAATGGACTAGAAATGTTAAGTGACTTCCACAATGCCAAGCCACAGTGTCAGAATCAGAATTCACACCAGGGCAACTGTTAATGATCAGACTCTTTATATCAAGCCGCAGTAGGGGACAAATCTAGCTGCCTTGTCTGGGAAAGCAGCAAAGAGCGATGCATATGTACAATCTGTCTGGTAGAGAACATGTACACATTGTCAGGCAAAGAAAAGGTCCATCTCACCTCTCCCCTTAGTGAATACCACTTCCAAATTAAGAGTCAGAATTAATGTCTTTACTGAATGTTGGGTTACAAAAATGCATAAGTCATTAGGGAATGTTCAAGGGGGAGAGGAAAGTTACTCATTGGTTGGAGAACTTACCGCAGTGGTTTTCCTTCAAGTTTCCTTTTTCCTTCCATTTGCATCTGAACCTTCACTAGGTCAGTTGGGTTGGCTAAAAATTGGCCAACAACACCAGCCATCATCCCTCCAATCACTGATTTCCTAATTATAAAAGGGGATACAGTTTTTTAAAGGTTGCTATCAATTTCACAGATTCTGTAGGGAATAATATGCTGGTACAGCCCCTGCATAAGAGATTTAAGACACAGTGAAGCAAAGAATAGACCCAGACAAATCACAGAGGTTTGTCTGTTTACTGATGGGAGGGTTCAAGGACCCGGAGGCGTCGAAATTCAAATCTGAAGTGCCAGGGGCCTTTCATGGCCTGAAATTCAAAGGAAGGGCAGTTGCTTCAAAGACATAGTTTAACTACAGTTTAATTCTGACCACAGGAGAATAAAAACAGCATTGATGTAATCAGTTTAACAGACAAAGGCTGGTAGGTCAATTTTTTTTTTTTTTTTTTGCAGTACGTGGGCCTCTCACTGTTGTGGCCTTTCCCGACACGCAGGCTCAGCAGCCATGGCTCACGGGCCCAGCCGCTCCGCGGCATGTGGGATCTTCCCGGACCGGGGCACGAACCCGTGTCCCCTGCATCGGCAGGCGGACTCCCAACCACTGCGCCACCAGGGAAGCCCGGGTAAGTCAAATTTTATGGATTACTATTTTAGTAGTTTTCCAAGGGGAAGGGGTTTTGACAATGCTCCTCTCTTTGAAGAAACTCTTTCTGTCCCTGGACTCTTCCTCGTCCTCACCTCCTGGAGCCAACAGGGAACAAGTCTAGGCTATTGTACTTAAACATGCCCTGAATCCTTCATCTTCTCCCTACTCCAGCTGCTCCTGTCTCGGGACAAGCCCCAGTCATCTTCTACTGAGATTATGGCAGTGGCCTCTTGGGGGGAGAGGGGTAGCTAATTTCTTTGTACTCTAAAACAATATTTGAAGAGGTACAAATGAGTACAGAGTAGAAAAGGGTCCCTATCCCCAGTTCCCCTCTTCTGAAGTGATCGCAACGACTAGTTTCTCTTATACTTTTCTAGAGATAATAACAATGCGTTCACTGAATGCATTACATCAGGCACTGTTTTAAGCACTTTTACAAATATCATTTAATTCTCAGATAGACTCTATGACATTAGTACCACTGTTATTTCCTCTTTACGGGTGAGGAGACCGAGGCACAACGCAGTTAAATGACAGCTCACACAGTGAGGAGTACAGCCAAGATGTAACCCCCAGGCAGTCTGAGTGCACAGTCCACAGTCTTAACCACTAAGTTACAACTGACGGCTTGTGCACACGTGCGCATATATATAAAGTATCTTTTTTTAAAGTACAAATGCAGGGCTTCCCTGGTGGCACAGTGGTTGAGAGTCCACCTGCCTATGCAGGGGACATGGGTTCGTGCCCTGGTCTGGGAAGATTCCCACATGCCGCGGAGTGGCTGGGCCCGTGAGCCATGGCCGCTGAGCCTGCGCGTCCGCGTCCGGAGCCTGCACTCCACAACGGGAGCGGCCACAACAGTGAGAGGCCCGCGTACCGCAAAAAACAAACAAACAAACAAAACAAAAGTACAAATGCAGAATGCCAGGTTGTATACTGTTCTGCTCTTAAAGGTTATCTCTGTCAATTCATATAGAGCTGCCTCATTTAAAAAACAGTTTCATAGCATTCCATTTTATGACCACTCCATAATTCATATAAGCAGCTAACTCTTCACTAAGAAATGTGAACATTTATATGACATTTGATTGATCCTGCCAAGTTCCTTTTCACAATACTTGTATCAATTCTTGCTCCCACCAATCACCTATGAGCATGACTGTTTCTCCTCACAGCGATGGGTGCAGTATGTTACCACTGGTTTTTCTCTTTTCGAATCCCATAACCACACCTCCTGTGTGATTGTTACATGATTCTACTTATTTAGGCATCTGTGTCTATTACCGTGAGTCTAGTCAGGGACTATGTCGGAGGACCATGCCTTTTTCATCACTATATCCTCGGTACTAAGTATAGGACTGACACAGCATAATCACTCAGTAAAGACCCAGTGACTGAGTGAATTGTTCTGACTGGGTCAGAGGACACGGAGGCAATCCACCCTGAGAGCTGGCTTCGGTGACATGTTTCCTTTGAACTCCTTACCTAACCCTTTCACATCTGGAAGAAATTACAGAATGCAAGAACTATTAATCTATTCCTTCTCCAACTCTGGGAAAGCAACTAGTATAGCTTAAAACATTACAATTTTTCAAAAACAGCACCAAGAGATTTTGCCTGGAAGATGAAATTCTACTTATTGCCCTTTTCTTATAGTTGTGACTTGGATTTTTTTTTTTTCAGCCCAAAAAAGATATTGTAGGCATCTTTATATGTTCTTCATATAAAACCCATTCTTCAAATAGCTGTGTTATATCTCCCTGCATAAATGTCTCATAACTTATTTGACTACTTCCAAATTGCTAGTTATTTAAATTAAAAAATTTTGCTAAAAAATTTTGATAAAAAATTATCAACACTGCTACAGTCCATATCTTTGTGTGCATGTGTGTGTGTGAGAGAGACTCTATGCATAGGTACAAATATTTCTGAATGATTCTAATCATAAAGAAGGAGTTGCTAGGTCAAAGGACTACACATTTAAAAATTTTAACAGGTAAACTTTATGCTCCAAAAAGGTTATAGTAACTTACATTCCCCTTAACAGTTTAATGGCTAAAAGTGCTTATAATTAATTTCCCTGATTACTGGTGAGGTTTTTTACATTTTTACATGTAAATGTAAACATTTTTACATGTTCAATGAACACTTACATTCCTTCTTCTGTGAGTTGCCTGTTGATATCCTTTCTTGATTTTTCCTTTTATGTTCTTTATGTATTTTTTATTGATCTACTGGAGTTCTGTGTATTTTACTTGTATTAACCTATTTTTCTCTGTTTCTATTTTAAATGTTATAAGTGATATGCACTTACATTCATCATCTCATCTAATCTTACAAAAACAAAATCCTGGTTGTAGGTATTAACTTCCAGAGCAGAGAAAACTGAAGATAAAAAAGGTGAAGTAGTTTGCCCAGGCTACATGGAAATAGAGCAGGAATATGAGCCCATGTCTGTTTGACTCTAAAGCTTAGGGTTTCTCAGTAGAAAGAGGCATAAAGAAGGTGCTCCATAAGAATTCTTTTAATATTAAAATATTAAATAATATATACATAATTTTATATAGGTATATACATGTATGTTTGTATATAATATGCAGTAAATGTTCAATTATTTGGATTTTTATTGTAATTATTTATTATTTTAAGCCTATACCTTGAGGCAATTTTGGTACAAATGCACAATTTTATACAAATCTAATGGATAAATAGTAAAACCTTCCGGGCACTAGTATATTTTCTTTTTCTTTTTTAATTGAAGTATAGTTGATGTACAACATTAAATAATTTACAGGTGTACAATATAGTGATTCATAATTTTTAAAGGTTAGGCTCCATTTATAATTATTATAAAATATTGGCTATATTCCCTCTGTTGTACAATACAGTATATTATTTTAAAAACAAAACTTACCAAAGGGGATAATGCTTATCTTCACTTTTGCCAAACACAACTTCACGGAGATGTTCGTAAGTGACCATTCGACCTCCAGAGTACACTGTGCAAGACAGAGCATTGAAAGGGTGAATCTGGCCCTGTGTTTAATAAAATAAGAGGATGCTTTGACATGGCCTGGTCAACATCTCTAGCTGTGTCTTTCTCTGACACACCCTAGGCTTCGGACACCTGGTCTTGATGGTTCTCCAAATGGGCATGCCTTTTAAAACCTCAGGCCTTCTCCTGTGTTATCTGATCTTTCTTGAATGGCTTCTCCCTTTCCTGACTTGCTAACTCCTCCTATTCTTTCAATACTCAACTCAAAGAACATGTTTTCCAAAAAGTGCCCTCTGACCTGGCCTCCAGTGTTCTAGGCTGTCATTGCACCTGCCATGCTTCTCTGATCCCCCAGAACTATCCAGGCATGTGTCTAATACGGTATTTATCATCTTGATTAGAAATTAACTTGATTTTCTTGTTCATCTTTCCATCAGACCATGAGCCTTTCAAGGCGGGTTTTGTGTCTTTTCATTATACTATATGCCCTAGTACAGAGCTTGGTACACAGCAGGCATTTTCACTCAATAAACATGCACAACTTCACTGGATAATTTATTATGTTAAGGTAATTTTTCAGTCAAGTGTCAAACATATGAAATGAATCTTAACTGTAAAACCACAGATGGTGGTCAACAAAATACAAATGAAAAGAAGTAAAACTCAAGACGATAATGGGAAGCAAGGAGAAACTATCAAAAAAAAAAGAACAAAAAAGAAAAATTGTGAAAATCAGTACATGGTACTCATATAGAGAGCTTTTCTTGATATCTGAAGAAGTTTAAGGAAGTATTTTAAGATATTCAAAAACATACAAAGCACCAAAACAATACCAGTCTAATCACACTTCTGGACAGTTCTTGGTGAATACACTCTAACCTGCTCATCTGGAGAACTGAAGCTTTAAAAACACAGAGCTGGTAAACATTAGTACTGGGCACTTTTCTGATCAAGGGTCCCTATGTATTTGAGGAATGATTATGATTAGAGAAGAAAAACGCCATACCCGTCCTATCTCCTTTTGAAGGCAAGTTTATTCTCCTGTCCACAAGCTGCAAACTCAGCAACTCCTATCTATGTGAGTGCCCCTTTGGAAGCAGGGCAGAAAAGTGTTCTCATTGGCAGCAGTGTAATTTCGACTACTTTCCTTTCAGAGTGACTAAGGACCCACATAAGTAGCCTGGGAACTGAGGAAAAAATCACCTGTGTTCCATTTACTCTATTGCCAAGGTTGGATTAGACAGTCATCCCTGTTCACTTTCAGATCAACCTGGCCTCTGACACATGGGACAGAGACTGGTGAGGCATTGCACTCAAATATAGTTTAATTTTCAAAGAATGTAAAAAAAATATTTTTAATTTTGTGTTTAAAGTTCAAGTGGAAAAAAAATCAACTATTCATCTTTTTCTTTCTTAAATTTAAATAAAAAACATTTTTATTCGGAAGATTTTCAAGCATACAGAAGAGTAGAGAAAAATAATACAATTCCCTATATATCTATCATGGAGATTTATCAATTGCTAACATTTTCACCATATTTTCTTCTTTTTTTTTTTTTTTGCTTAATTATTTTCTGTTACATTAGAGACATCATGACAGTTCATCCCTAAATACTTCTGTATGCATTTCTAAAACCCTAAGGCTATAATTCCTTAATAACCTTATATTCATTTATCATATTAGCAGAAGAAAACTAGCTGGCTTTTGAACACAGCTCAACAGGAAAGCAGAGGAGACAAACACAGAACTCGTGACAAACTCACCAGCTAGAATCAAGATAAATACCTATGTGTCTGTAAATGGCAGGTGTCACTCCTTGCCAGAGCTTTAGAAAGCCTTCCTCTTGGACAATCCCCAGGGCCGTGCGCACCATGCCCCTATAGGGAGCAGACTCTCTTGCACCGTCTCCCAACCGAGCAAGGGCAGCTTCTCCTTGTATTTGGAGTCGAGTTTTTGTGAGATCGAGGGGAAAGGTTGCTAACAACAACAACAAAAACAAAACGAGGGGGAAACCCATAACATTCAGAGAAACAAAATTTTTTAAAAAATCACAGGACCCATATTTTAGTCAGCACAAGATGGGTGATTCTCAAATTTCAGAATACATCAGAATCAGCCAGGGAGGTTGTTAAAAATTACACATTTCCTAGCCCCACGCCTGTGGAGTCTCAGTAGGTTGATGGGGTTTAGACACCAGTTGATTCTTATACACTCCCAAATTTGAGAATCACTGTCCCAGAGCAGCCCCAGAGCACCAGAAAGAAAACAAAAAGTGACAAGCCCTTGGGTTCTTTTTCAGTCAGAAATTTCAGTCCAAAACCTACTTTAGTCCTTAATGTTTGCCTTCCAATGTGAATAATTTCCAGTATCCATTGCCTGTGATGTGCCCTGGACTGCAACCATGATTAAGAGCCAATGTGACTTTTAGAATACTGTACTACTTATGACAGGTTCTTAATAAATGCCAGATGAAGCTGAATTCTGTCATTTCGTGGGTGATGTTTGCATGTAGATGAATCACTGACCTGATGTCTGAGAAAGAGAAGATGCAACATAGGGTTTATCGTGTCTTTTATATCAAAGGGTGGCAGGCTCAATATTCTTTCAATTAAGGAATATGTTGAGTTGGTTTTCCAGCACTGATGAGTTTTATGCATGGCTTCCTTACAAATACAACCTGTACTTGAAAAATTTTTCCCTAATGATTACATCTTGAATTAGAGATAGACCTCTCACCTGGAAAGAGTGAAGCTAACTGGCTCACATAAGGAAGATCAAGCTCATAACTTTATACACACAATGACTCAGATAAGTTCATTAACATTAGTGACATTACATAAGTCTTTTCAGTGACCACCACCTGATACAAAACCATAGCTATGCCTTTTCCAAGAGAACACAGAGACGGGGGAAGAGAATATTCAGTCTTAACCACTGGTCTTTGGAAAAGTTAATTATCTGGCTGTTGGTTTTTCTAAAACACAAGTTGTGTGCACATAGAGAATTTAAGCAATCCTCTGTTGACATATGAAACCTGAAAAGTCTTAAGATATAGGCACCTCTATATTAGCATAGGTTATGCCTCTTAAGATCACTTTGGTTTTCTTGCTGGTTACTTAAATAATGCTTCAGGTTCTGATCCTAAATCATTTTGTACTCAAAACCATCTCACATTTTGAATCCCCTTCCCCCATTCAATTCTCCATGAAATTTTAACAGGAGGAATGTTCCTTTACAAAAGCCATTGGTCACAGGGGGAACATCAGGTTAAAAAAAACAAAACAAAACAAAACCGGAAACATACCTAATCATTTAGCAATCTGCTTTTAAAATTTGTTTAAGTTAATGAATTGTATTTCAGTAGAAACAATGAATAATAAAAATTCGCCATCAGCTTTGGGAGAAGAGAAAGAAAAAAAACCAGAGGGTCCAAAGGGCAAGAGTGGAGGAGCACTAAGGGCAAACAACAGATCATGTTCTGCTTCTGCTGGAAATACAAAGTACACTCATTTTAGAACAGGACAAACTAACATTTACACATCCAAGCTATTCCTTTTTTTTTTTTTTTTTTTTTAAACGGGCAAGAAAATGAAAGGGTAATCTTAAAATGCACAGTGAAGGCAGGGAAAACACAGGCACTCTAGTCACAAAATTCTTGGAAGAAACACCACCTGTTCTTGCAAGGGCATCATAGTTCTGCTCTAGGTAGCCCCTTAAGTTTTCTCTGACTTGCTTATGCAGATGTAACTGTTCATCCTCTCTGCTCTTATGATACTTAATAACATCTTCATTATAATAAGTAGCATAATGTAATTGTCTGTCTCTGCATGTCTCCCCACCAGCCTGTAAGAAGGTCAGGGCTGGGTCTTCTGAACTCTATCTCTACTGTCTCCAGCACTGTCATAATAGTGTTGCAATTAGCGGTTGCCTTGCCTTGGGTTTAACGTTTATATATTATTAACTTCTCAGAGTCCTGCAAGGTAAACACAGTATAGATGAGTTCCACGCAAAGAGGTCAACTGGCAGATGCTGATTGGATGCTCGGTAAGTGATGGGTGACGAACTTAAGTCCCACAGGTTGGGTTCACAACTTGGACCCAAAACACAACGATATAGTGAGGCTGCGTAAGAATATAAATAACAGAGATGACCTCAATAAGGATGAAAAGTGGACTGGGTTTTAAAAAGGGCATCCTCACGAAAGAGAAAATGATCTCTATAGAGGAATGACAGCTCAGGAAGCTTCTAAACGGACACATTCAGGCGCAATAGCACACCCGAGGGAGACGAAATTGGAAGGAAGAGACCTTCGTGACCTCCAATCCCTCTTCCTTACAAGGTTGGCCTTGCCCCCACCCTGCCACACCTGCAGGACAGGTGTGGACCAAGAGGGCTGCATCCACCCAGAAACGAAGCCACCCGCCCGGTCCCCCACCCCCGCGCGACCCCTCGACGACTCGCGGGGGAGGCCCAGGCTGGACGGCCGGGTACCTAGCTCGGCCACGGTGGCCGCGCAGCCCGACAGGAGGAACTTGCTCGCGCGGGGCCATCTCTGGGCAAGCGGCGAGAGCCTCTCCTCATCCTCCGGAGTCGACATTCAGCAGCAGCACGTGAGGACGATACGCCCCTTCTGGCCCGCGCCCCGCGCCACGGCTGGCCTGCCACCTGGCCAGAGCGGCTCCTCCTCAACCGGCGAGCGGCGGGGCGGGTACCATTTCCCTTGCTCGACTCCGCCAGATGGGCCCACCGAACCTGCACCCTCTCCCTAGCAGCCTCGGGCTTGAGCAGCCCAGTGGGGTGAATTCGGAAAACAACGCGAAGCCCGCGAGGCTTCTGGGAAATGTAGTCCGCGTGGCTCCGCCCCTCCGGGACCGAGTTCTCTGATTGGTCGCGGACGAGCCGCCCGCCGCGCCACCAGCCCCGGTCTCCATGGCAACAGCGCCACTTCTCTTCCTCCACCCCCTGCACCCACACCAGCAGGATCCAGCCCCTTCCTTCCGTCCCGCGTGGCCAGAACTTGAAAGAAAAGTGGACGTAGGAGGGAGTGATGATGCAAAAGTTACCCAAAAATTGGGGCGGGGAAAGGAGGCTACAGTTAGGAAGGCGAACAAGCTGCAAAAGGAACAGCGGAAAGTTGGGAGGTCGGGAGGGTGCCCTGTTCCGGGGGAAGGAGCAAGTACCACAGCAGCGAGACTTTTCCCTTCTCTGATTCAGGAAGGTGCTAGACAAAAACATGGAATTCATTTCCCCAACAGTGGTTATAATCTTAGGTTGTGTTGCTCTTTTATTATTTCTTCAGTGGAAGAACTTGCGTGGACCCCCGTGCATAGGGGGCTGGATTCCTTGGATTGGAGCTGGATTTGAGTTTGGAAAAACCCCTCTAGAATTTATAGAGAAAGCAAGAATCAAGGTATGTGACCTTAGCAAGTGGGGTTTCCGGAAGAGGTAATGTTTTCTTTTTTATTTTCTTTCATTGTATCTCAAGTGCAATGTTAGAACATGGGGAACCTACCTGCTGACCACAATTAAACGATCTAGCCTCTTATGAATTCCTCAACAATCAACAACTGTGTCTTATGCAAGGTTTTTCGAAAGAAACAGATTTTCATCAGTTATAAAGTACAAGGCAGCTTGTAACTGCCTTTTTGGAAGTAGAGATTAAAAGTGCTAGTTACTTCATCGTAGCTAAAAAATCCTAAGTGTATACATATTAACTAAATGCTTGCAATAATTGGGAAGACAGAAGCGTAATACAAGTAATTTCAATTTGCTTAATAAATTCGTATCCAGATCAAGAGTTAACACCAGGCTATTGTAAAAACTGCTTGCAAATTCGGTCTTTACAAACATAGTGGGCACTATATTTTCAGCTGGTGTTATTTGGTGGTAACATTTTCACTGTCCACTAAGGATATTAGTAATTGTTGTTGCAGTACATATTTTTGTCTTTAAAATAGCTTTCAAATATATCTTTCAAAAATAGTACATAGGTTACTGCTTTTTTTTTCTTTATTTCAATGGACATTCTTGTGTGTATGCTCCTGTGTGTGTTTGTACTTTGCACTTACCTGATTGTTTCATCACAATGACTTCCTAAAAGTGAAATTGCCCAAAGGACATTAAATTGTTTATATTATTGTGTTACTCTTGCAAAAGGATGTACAAATCCTTTTTCCTTTTCTTTTCCTTTTTCTTTTCCTTTGAGTGTAGGGGATTTGCGTCGCTCTTCATATCCTGGACCACACTAAGTACCATAATTCTTGTTAGTCTAATAGATGAAAAATAATATCTTTTTTTTTAGAAGTCTCTAACCATTCTTTATTTTTCAATACTCACACAATTTATACTCAAGATTGTATTTTTGAAAATCTTAGGGAAAAATACTATCTTTTAAAGAAATACTTCTTTGTCTCCCATAGCCTTCCTTAGGTATATGATTTTGATAAGTCTTAAGGAATGTTTCTAAAAGCTTGTCTCAGAAGGTCAAGCAAGGTCACAAAGATTATTCTGTTTTCTTCTAAAAGGTTTATAGTTTTGCATTTAACATTTAGGTCTATGATCCACTTAGAGTTAGTTTTTTTGTAAGGTCTACATAAGGGTTGAGTTTCAGTTGGGCCTCTGGATGTCCAATTGTTCTAGTATAATTTCTTGAAGGACTTTCCTTTCCTCATTGAGTTGCCTTTGCAGCTTTTCAAAGATTAACTGACCATATATGTGTAGATCTATGTCTAGCCTTTCTATCCTATTCCATTGATTTGTATGTCCACTCCTTTGTTAACACTGCACTATCTTAAATACTACAGCTTTATAGTAAATCTTTAAATCAGGTAGTGAAAGTTCATGTTTTTTTGTCATTGATGTGGCATTCAAGATTATTTGCATTTTAATATAAATTTTAGAGTTGGCTTGCCAATATCTATAATAAAGACTGTTGGAAGAATGTTTGGAAGTTTGTTAAGTCTATGGAAAAATTGAGGGAGAATTGACTTTTTTTTTTTTTTTTTTTTTTTTTTTGTGGGGTAGGCGGGCCTCTCACTGTTGTGGCCTCTCCCGCCGCGGAGCACAGGCTCCGGACGCGCAGGCTCAGCGGCCATGGCTCACGGACCCAGCCGCTCCGCGGCATGTGGGATCTTCCCGGACCGGGGCACGAACCCTTGTCCCCTGCATCGGCAGGCGGACTCTCAACCACTGCGCCACCAGGGAAGCCCGAGCATTGACTTTTTAATGGTATTTTGCCTTCTAATCTATGAACTTCCTCTACGAACTACCTCTCCCGTTTATTTAGCTATATAATTCCTTTTAGAAATATTCTGTAGTTTTCAGTGATGGGGTCTTGCCTGTGATTGTTAATTATTTCTGAAATATTTTATATTCTTGAGGCTATTGTAGATACAATTGTTTTCACTTTTGTTTTCCAGTGGTATCCCTCTGGCGCATAAAAGACACAATTGTTTTTGTATATTAACTTTGTATCCTGTGATCTTGCCAAATTCACTTATTAGTTCCAATAGTTACTTTGTAGATTTCTTAGGATTTTTATACATACACAATATGTCCTACAAACAGATAAATTTATTTCCTGTTTTCTGATCTTTATGCCTTTTATTTCTTTTTTCTTGCATAAATAAAGAGGGACTTCTAATATATTGTTGAATAAAGTGGTGTGCATAGACAAGCTTGTCTTCTTCCTAATATTCGGGGAAAAGTGTTCAATGTTTCACCATTAAATTTCTTATTATCTGTAGATTTTTTCACAGGTGCCTATTTCAGTCCTGACCTTGATCGATACTCAGAATTCACAGATGCCACCAGGGAAATAAATGATGACCTATTGTCTGTTCACTTCTACACACTTCTCTGTGGAGTTTTAGTCCATTTAGTTCTTATTGTTTCCCCAACTCTCTGATGCCTTTAAAAATATGATCTTTGTTATCTATCCCTCTTTTCTCTCATCCTACACAGAAACAGAAGCATCTGCATGTTTTAAAAGCTGCAAAATATTCCCTGAATCATTTCACTTAAACAGTCACCTAATGATTGATATGGTTTGTTTTCCATATTTTACTATTGTAAATAATGTAGCAACAAATGTCATTTCTATGTGTGCAAGTATATCTGTGGAGTAAATTATCAGATTCAAAGTGTAAATGTATTTTTTAATTTAATTTTTATTTTATATTAGAGTATAGTTAATTTACAATGTTGTGTTGGTTTCAGGTATACAGCAAAGTGATTCAGTTATACATATGCATATATCCATTCTTTTTCAGATTCTTTTCCCATGTAGGTTATTACAGATTATTGAGAATACATTTGTAACTTAGAGGGAAATGGGAAACTTTGTGAGTGTTTTGAGCAGAGGAGTGATGTGATGTGATTTAAATTTTAAAGGGTCATTTTGGGCACTCTGTTAAAAACAGGAACATAAAACTAAAAGAAAGAAGATAATTCGAAGGTTTTGGCAAGAATTCAAGCTTGAGATCTTGGTGGATTGTACCATGGTGATAGCAGTGGAAGTTTGAGAAGTGGCTGGATCTGTTTTGAAGATGGAAGCAGTAGGATTTACTGGTGGATGGAATGTGGTGTGTGAAAGAATGAAAAGGAGCAGAGGTGGCTCCCAGAAGTTAGACTTGAGAAACTAGAACATGGACTCACTATCAAGTGAGATGATCAAGATTGCCTACAATGTGGCCCGAGTGCCTATATGTATTACCAAAAGCCACTTTCCTAATGGAAAGTTAAGAATTCTCATTTGAACAAACCTTCAACGATGAACACGACTCATCTTCTTCTAAGTATTGATTAATAAACAATACTAGGTAGGGAATATTGGGAAGCAATGTAGATGTCTGGATCACTAATGGAAGAAAATGAGACTTCACTATTTGGGGGATCAATGATTATTGGGCCCACAGTTGCCTGATGGCATCCAATACTGTGTCACGGGAGCTATCACGTGCCATTTCATGCAGATCTGGAAATGAGTATAATATTGAAGTACTGATGAGCCTAAATGATATTTCGAGAGATTTATAATAACTGTAATGGGATATAAAAGTATGGGTGGTTTTTCCAAAAATGTACATGTTGGATGTGGTCTGAGAAAGTCAGTACAGCCATAGGAGGAAATGAGAATGAGACTTGGAAGGAGGAAGGTTGTTATACTCACAGGTCCAAGGCGGGGGTCACTGCACGCCATGCAGGGCCACAGGGGAGAGCACCCTGTCGGGAGGCAGAAGATGGGAGCAAGAGAAAGCCCTGGCCAGAGCCTTTATTGGGGTTTGCTCAGGAAAGGCAAGGCGAGGCAGGGTAAACAATTTAGGATTGACTAGTTTGAATCATTTCTGAGGGCTTTGGGCTATAAGGTTGGTCTGCGGGTGCCTAGTGCCTCGCCCTGGGATGATTTAGGGCGAGGATAATATTGGCTTGGCGTGTGAGAGTTAGATCAGGAGGTGGTCGGGGACACAGACTCAGGATGGGTTGGTTTCCCTATGAGTGGCATGCTCCTGGATGGCTGAGTCCTTTGCTGTCTCTAAAAACTGACTAGCCCTGGGAGGGCTGTCTCTACCCAGTAGTGAGGCCACCAAAGCTGAGCGTCAAGAAGAAGAAAAGATAGCTAATATAATCGGCCCTGTGACAGATGGATGCCAAAAGACACCAAATCTAAGGAAGTGCAATTGGAACAGGAGGTTCTTTTGAGGATAGAGTCGTGGGGAAGATTGTGGTGTATTGCCTCCATTCATAATTAAAGAAAATGTTACATTATAATCAGAAGCCAGTGAAAATAATGATATATTTTTCTCCAAATAAACTCATGGACTCCCTTAAACCAAACCAAACTCCGCACTGGAGGATGACTGTAGGTTCCTAGGAGCTATCTGATAGAAAAGGCAAAACTGATGGTGTACGAGAGAGAAGGCGTACACATAGAACAAAGACAGAGTGTGGAACCCATAACACAAGTGAAGGAGGGTGGGCATTTCCCAGGGGCAGGACCCTCCACCTGTGTTAACTCAAGGGGAGGCATGGAGAATGGGTACAAATGGGTACAATTGTCTGCAGGCTCTGGTGGTGAGAAGCTGACAGTGCTCATTTTCCCAGTGAGTTACAAAGCAGGAACACCCTCTCAGAGTGGAGAGGGTTGGGCTAGGCGAACAGGTGAGTCATTTTGGAAAGTGAGAAAGTGAGCACATTACAGAAATTTGGGGATTGCGGGACATTGTTGAGTGACTACAGACTGAAGGTGAAATCAGTCAGCAGTTTATCTTTTTCTTGAACAAAGTTCAACCATAGGTTGTTTCTAACCCTCCTGATAATCTTGAAAACAGGGCTCAAATATCACAGTGTTTGATATAATTTCCAATCATTATTTCTAATTATTATTTCTACTACCAGAAAGGAAGGTACAAGCAAATAATAACACTATCAAAAGGAAGGTTAAATATTACAACAGAATAAATTAGGATTTTTATAATTTAGATTTTGCTCAGTCAAAATTTATAATTATTATGTATAATAATTATGTATATTATTATGTATAATCATAATAGTTTTTATCTTGACCGTGAATTCAGCATTGGGGCTCTTGAGGAACACTGTCTGAAGCATAACCATGGTCCAGTAACTTATTTATTAGAAATGCTTACTAATATGGTCTGTATTTATGTGTTTTCTTTCAGTATGGACCGATATTTACAGTCGTTGCTCTGGGCACCCGAATGACCTTTGTTACTGAAGAAGAGGGAATTAATGTGTTTCTAAAATCCAAAGAAGTAAATTTTGAACTAGCAGTGCAAAATCCCGTCTATCGTACAGGTAAACGGTATTTTCAGATAGTTCATTTGAAATACAACATGGAATCCAAGAGCAGCTTTAGGTAACAATCACATCTTCACTCCTCTGTCAAGAATGAGGCAGGCCCATTATTCTGTTCTTTACAGTAGGGATAGAAAAGAGTATGTGATGCATTTAGCCCATGTAGAGCAAATTATTGGCAACCTGAAACATTTGGATATCCATTAGCTATGTGTAAGAGGTGAGGTCACCTCACTGGTGTTTACTTGGGAAAATATTGGCATCTGCAGCCTGTTGCAGCTCCCAAACTGTCACTAACTCTGCTCTGCCGCTGTGTATACAATGTTATACAGGCTATAGCTCTTGGCTTTATCTCATGTTGCTACTCTGCTCCTTGAAAGTAGAACTGCACTGCTTAGTAAGCCCTTTACTATGGCATTTCCTGTCATAGTCCACAGGGTTATTGAGGTAAGTAGGGCTCAGCTTCATATAATTGGTGCCCTTTCTTTCCCCATCCTCAGAGACTGCTGGACTGAATTTGTCAGCATGCTTCCAGTGTGACTGTCTGCCTTTCTTTCTTTCTTTTCTTTTTTTTAAAATAAATTTATTTATTTTATTTGTTTTATTTTTGGCTGCGTTGGGTCTTCGTTGCTGTGTGTGGGGTTTTCTCTAGCTGCAGCGAGTGGGGGCCACTCTTCGTTGCGGTGCGCGGGCTTCTCATTGTGGTGGCTTCTCTTGTTGCAGAGCACGGGCTCTAGGCACACAGGCTCAGTAGTTGTGGCTCACGGGCTCTAGAGTGCAGGCCCAGTAGTTGTGGCGCATGGGCTTAGCTGCTCTGTGGCATGTGGGATCTTCCTGGACCAGGGCTCGAACCCGTGTCCTCTGCATTGGCAAGCAAACTCAACCACTGCGCCGCCAGGGAAGCCCGTGTCTGCCTTTATTTCTTCCCAGGCTGCAGACATACATGCTGAGGCCATTTGTCCTCCCAAGAATGCAGAGCTGGTTCATTTTGTGCCTGGTTCTTTTCTCCGCTTTCACAATGTCTGTGCTTGCTTCTGCCATCTTTTTTCTCCTTGCTTCCCTTTTTGCATCTTTCTTAGGTTCATTTTCATATAGCTTCTTCTTATGCATTTCTTGCCATTAAGACAAAAAAGTTTGTTTTCAAGGCCGTCAGTTGATCCGTAGCATGATGATTGTTTCTTGTTGCTTGCACGAAAAATCACAACATGCTGGTTCCAGTTTTTTGACCCTTTAATGCTTCTTGATATTTAGACTATGGAATTCCAGATCAAAGAAATACAAATATTTTGAAGACTCTTGATCTGTAAATTCACATATTCCTTGAGAAAAATATACCAACTTACTCACCTATCCTAGGTGTATTGAAGTGATCACGTTTTTTCACCTCTGCCTCCCCTGGGGACTTGCATGCTTAAATATTTCTATTTAACAGATGAAATATCTTAATATTTACTCTTGAGCCAGCTTCCCATTCCTCTCAATTATTCCCCTACCATGGAGACAATGCATGCTCAGGAAGTCCACAAATTATTTTTCCTTAACTTATACAAAATGTATCCTACATGTAATAGGATGATGAAATATAAAATTAAAAATTATTTTTTGGAAAACTTACTTTGAAGACAATAAAAGAGGATTAAAGAAAAATATAAAGGAATAGTGTAATGAGTTTAAAAATTCATACTCTTAACACCCAACCAGACCAGGTGTGAGTATCAGGAAAGGAGCGTGAACACTAAGATAAAGGCAACAGTGGGGCTAAAGCTATTGGGGTTAGTTTAGGAAAGCCCTGCTGGTGGAGGTGATATTCAAGAAGACACTTGAAGGAGAGAAGAAGTTAGCAGAAGAAATGTATGGCTTGTAGGTGCGGGGGGAGGGGGTGGTAGGGGTGGGAGGGTGAGATCAGTCAAGTAGAGAACATTCTGAGCAGATAGAAGAGCTCATGAAAATGCTGAGATGTATAAAAGAGTGTGTGTTTTCAGTATACCTGGGATATATGTTTGGAGGGAGAAAGGGCTAGCAATGTGATTGTAGAGCTGGAAAGAGGGTAGAACGCCTTGTAAACTTTGTTAAGGATAGGAAGCCAATGAAAAGTTTTAAACATGGAAATAAAATCACTAGATGTGTGTTTCCCAGAGGCTTCCTTAATCACCCCCATACAAATCATCCCTTAAGGTGAATTACCCTACGGACTTTCACTATCTCACAGTCTATGTTGGATCTTCACCTACGTTTATTTGCAGGAGGTGATTCTATGTACTAGGTGAATTTTGGCTCTAGTCTCTGCTGATCAAGGAATAGAGAGGGAGGTCTATTGACTGTTTGCTTCAAAAAGTGGTTGCATAATTCAAAGAGTCATGTACCACAATGTTCATTGCAACTCTATTTACAAGAGCCAGCACATGGAAGCAACCTAAGTGTCCATTGACAGATGAATGGATAAAGAAGATGTGGCACATATATACAATGGAATATTACTCAGCCATAAAAAGAAATGAAATTGAGTTATTTGTAGTGAGGTGGATGGACCTAGAGTCTGTCATACAGAGTGAAGTAAGTCAGAAAGAGAAAAACAAATACCATATGCTAACACATATATATGGAATCTATTTAAAAAAATGGTTCTGAAGAACCTAGGGGCAGGATAGGAATAAAGATGCAGATGTAGAGAATGGACTTGAGGATGCGGGGAGGGGGAAGGGTAAGCTGGGATGAAGTGAGAGAGTGGCATGGACATATACACACTACCAAATGTAAAATAGATAGCTAGTGGGAAGCAGCTGCATAACACAGGGAGATCAGCTCCGTGCTTTGTGACCACCTAGAGGGGTGAGATAGGGAGGGTGGGAGGGAGACGCAAGAGGGATGGGGTATGGAGATATATGTATACGTATAGCTGATTCAATTTATTATACAGCAGAAACTAACACAACATTGTAAAGCAATTATACTCCAATAAAGATGTTAAAAAAAAAGGTGGTTGCTTCTTTTGAAAAGTGTTTTCTCTGTTTATAGCATCAATCCCAAAGAGTATCTTTTTAAAACTGCATGAGAAACTTTATATCATGGTGAAAGGGAAAATGGGAACTTTCAACCTATATCGATTCACTGGACAACTGACTGAAGAATTACACGAACAGCTGGAGAATTTAGGCCCTCATGGGACCATGGACCTGAACAACTTAGTGAGGTAAATAGATGCCTTATTATTTAATTTTGTTTTTTATTTTTTTGGAATAAAAAAAATTTGAAGCCTATACATTGGACTTCACAAATTTTCTGGTGGATTAATGAAGTCTATCTAGCTAGGCGATTAAAAGATGCTATTAATCTTTTAAATTCTGATTAATGGGCAGTTTTCAGTTAGCATTTCAATTTGAAGGTAAGCAAATAGGCCAATAGAATCATTTTAACACGTTTTAATAATAATTTCTCCCTAGTCATTCCTTATAATTTTGTACGCGCTACATGGATTTTCCTCATATAATTGTCATGCATCCAATTTTGATAAAACATTCAGTGCAATTTGTGATCATTAGAAGAAGAGGACATTGAGAGGAGAGGGAAGAGGATAGAATCAGAAAGTAGATGACAAGCGTCCAGGAGATGTCTGGGAGACTTGACAAGGTGGCTGAGGGAAAGCCACCATGAGCCTCGGTACTGAGACCAGGTTCTCTGAGAGGGGAGGTACTGAGAGGTAAGCGAGACAGGAGAGGACAGTGGGGGGAACCACGTAGCACCCAGCCATGTTCTGGAGCTTTCTGGCAAACATAAGGGCTTAGCAGGGAGCTGTGAGAAGAATTCCCCGCACGCGCAGGGCGATTTGGTAAACCGAAGTTACCCGTGAGGCACTTTTCCATCTCAGTGGGATGCTGGAGGCATGACCAACCATCCAGACTCAGAAATACAGCAACATCGAATAGTTTGTTAGGGTTCCAGAAAGAGAGAGAGGAAAAGTAAAACAAAAACAAGCAACCAATCAACCAAACTTTTAACATGCCCAATATCTACAACAAAACAAAGCAAATTCTTGAATGACTTTGAAACTTGGAGGGAAAGGAGATCCTGAGAAATTTCTGTGAGGAAATGATGGTGAATAAAAATGGAATAAACAGTACTTAGTGTTACTAACCTGGGACATATTAACAATCTCTGATATTCCCTTATTTAAGGACCCCGCAGAAATAATTTTATTCACCTGAGGGAAAACTTGCTGATGATAGATACTATATTTCAGTCTTTCGATATAGTTCAAAGTTATAGGATCCTGGGAGATACTAGGAATTTGGTGACTAATATTGCCCTTCATTCTTCGTTTGGTTATTTTTGGCTGCTGTCTAAAGGTACGAACTGTATCTTAGTTATCGTTATTATTTGCTAAATAAATGCTTGTTGAAATCATATTGAATCGAGCTCTTTCTGTGTGTCATCTCACATTTGTCAGGATCTAACAATACTTGCTTAGAAAGCATTTGAAAATCTTCAGATAAATAAGACAATTTCAGTTACCCCTAAGTTATCTTGAGTACAGAAAGCAAATATTAAAACCTCTTAAGAATGACTCCCCCCCCACATAAAAATATATCACATATGATTGTCTACCCCTAATATATAGCTATTCAATAATGCCTTCTTTTGTAACCTATGCTTTTCTTCTGTGGTCATTGGTTCTGACGTTTTATGTGTTTCTATCTTTGTAGGCATTTCCTTTACCCGGTCACAGTGAACGTGCTCTTTAAAAAAGGTCTGTTTCCCACAAATGAGAGGAAAATCAGGGAGTTCCATCAGCACTTTCAAGCTTATGATGAAGGTTTCGAATATGGGTCCCAGTTGCCAGAATGTCTCCTCAGGTAGAGAGTTGTTTCCTATGTTAATTCCCCGATCAAGCTCTTCTCAGCTATTCATACATTTCTCTCCTTTCTTTGTTCTAAGTAGCTATAACAGCAGTTTAAGTGGGAGAGACAGAAGCTATTTCTTATGACCAGTTTGTGTGTGTGTGTGTGTGTGTGTGTGTGTGAATTGAGGGAGGAACTGAAGAGAGATGGATGATTTCCTCTTATTCTCATTTTGAGGAACAAAAACAAGAAGGAGAGGAGAGAATATGAGAATGAAATGAAGAATCTATTTTGAGGCCTTTTATGCCATTTACAACTTATTATTATCACAGTCATTGCTACATCATCAAGTGTGACCCGTGTCAGAATCCAAAGTCCTTATTCTCCCTGAGGCAGAAGTAGGTGTGGTCAAATGTATTTCTCACAGTTGGCTCAGATAAAAGTTTATAAAACGGTTTGATTGCAAAGTAACACATGATATTTTAGTTTCTTGGCAGTTGGTCTGAAATGATGACTGGTCGGAAAAGATTAAAAAGCTTTTAGTCAGTTTGCTTTGCCTCACTTAACCCAGCAACGGGTCCCTGGGCAAGATTTTGATCCTGCTGTAACTGACAACAGCCAGAGCAAACTTAGACCAAACAAATCATGAGCCCTGTTTTCTCTCTTTTTTTGTTTTTAATAAATTTATTTATTTATCTTTGGCTGTGTTGGGTCGTCGTTGCTGTGCACGGGCTTTCTCTAGTTGTAGTGAGCAGGGGCTACTCTTTGTTGGGGTGTGTGGGCTTATTGCAGTGGATTCTCTTGTTGCGGAGCATGGGCTGTAGGCACGTGGGCTTCAGTAGTTGTGGCACGTGGGCTCAGTAGTTGTGGCACACGGGCTTAGTTGCTCCGAGGCATGTGGGATCTTCCCGGACCAGAGCTCGAACCCATGTCCCCTGCATTGACAGGTGGATCCTTAACCGCTGCGCCACCAGGGAAGTCCCCAAGCCATGTTTTCTTATTTAGTGCCAGCCCTTTAGGAATGCAAATGTTTATTTGCAAAAGATACTAAAGTGTGGCTGCCTTGCCCCCTCAATTTTCCTTGTGGACTAGTAAGTCTGAAGGTAGATTTCTCATGAAGTTCCAGCTGAAAATGAAGAAGACATTTGGAGAAATAATTAAAATTCCATAGACATAGTCCCTTTTCTGCTGTGACTTGTTACTCCTAGAGTTCTTTCAAATTAATTTATCCACATATTTTTTCTCACCTAGAAACTGGTCAAAATCCAAAAAGTGGCTTCTAGCACTTTTTGAGAAAAACATTCCAGATATAAAAACATGCAAATCTGCAAAAGATGATTCCCCGGTAAGTATTCCTTAGCTTTTTTTGCTAAAATACCTGAGACGAAAACAGTCATAAACCACGATTGTTAAAAAAATATTTTTGCTAAAAATCATGAGATGTGTTACATAGATACCATTTTTGTGCCAACCACTGTGTTGGATGTTTACATACGTTATTTTATTATTGCATCCTCACAGCAGTGAGGGAGATATTAACCCTATGTTACATAAGAAAAAACTGAGGCTACAGACAACAAAATAACACAACAGCCTGAGGGTTTTTCTTAATATTTATCGATTATACAGTTGGTTGTGTCAACAGTCACAGGTGAGAGTTATGGCAAATTAGGCAAAGATAAGAAAGCTCGACAAAGTTGACTTTTTTCTTGAGGCCACCACGGCTAATTGTTTCTTTCTTCAAATGCAACCAGGTAGTGTGGTATAATTTAAAAAGCAACGCACTGGGAGTCACTGTCCTAAGTGTCCTAGATCTGTGGTTCTCTACACGTGGTCCTTAGACCAATGGTACCAACGTCGCCTGGGAAACCACTCAGGGCAAAACGCTAGGAGCCCAGCCATCTGGGGGTTTATACACCTTCCCGATGGTTCTGATGCTTGCTAATGAATGGTTCTCAGCCGTGGCCGCTCATTAGAATCTCTGAAAGCTTTTGAAAACTACCTGATTCTCCAGACTCACCGTCTGGAGATTCCTTTTGGCCTGGACTGCCTGGGCTCAAGTCCAGTCACCATTGTGTGACCTTGGGTGTGGTACCTAACCTCTTGGCCTCAGTTTTGTGACCTTGCGCATGGTACCTAACCTCTTGGCCTCAGTTTTGTTAACAAATAGTTAATATTTGTAAAGCACTTGAAACATAGTAAAGACCGTGTGAGAGTTTATCATCGTTATCATGGAAGAAATCATTTCATATCTTTTAGCATTGAAAGATGATATCAGACATTTTTGTTTGTTTGCATTTAGTTATGATAGCAAGTGATAATCACAAACAACTCTGCTTAACACTGGAGAGGAAGATCACCTTAGAAAAAAAGGAATGTGCGAATGTTTGGGGATCTCCCTCTGGAATAAAGGGAATAGAAAGCTAGACTGGAATGCCCTTCACTGACAAACTATGTTTCAGCTAAAGAATCTATTTTATAAATGGATCCAGACAAACACATTTTTGTTTTCATTATTTTCCAGGATTTAGAGGTAAAGCCATGTGTGTATAAAAGCTGTACCCAAATAGATCTGTAATCTATGAGCCTAGAAAACAGGGGTTTTTAATGCCCCAGTTAAAACTCCCCGCTGACAATCCTTCTAGAATAGCATTTATTTTTCTTACTCTGAAGAAATGAGGCACTTTAATCATAGGTACTCGAACTCCTGCTTTGAATAAAGACAAATTTTGACCTCTGCTGACGCCAATTCAATGTTTATGACCGGGGTAGAATTCAGTTTGAACACTCATGAGCTGCGTAACTTCATTTTTTAAAAACTGTTTTGTTTCTGTTTTCCTGCAGCAGTGTTCACACAGAGTTTATGTTTTTATGCCCACAATTTTTTAAAAAATGCAGGCTAAGAAGAAAATAAAAGGTTCTGTTGTCTTTTACTGCATGAGTCGATTTCAATGTCCTAGTTAAGCAAAGGACTGGAAGAAGTTTTTTGTTTTTTTGTTTTTTAAGTATTATACACACATTTTCTCACATCATAACTTTATCACGTTTCAACTTGAGTGATTTCTCCCATGTTATTCTAGATATAAATTAAACTAGTATTTTCATTTACAATTAAGACTGCACCACAGAATAGCATATCAAAAGAATGAAATACATCTATAGGATCTTTCATGAAATATAAACTTTGTACCATAACAACTTGCATTGTAAGTCTGATAGAAACCAGGAGTAAATGAAAATTATACTTAAATTATTTTCAAATCTGGTAATCCATTATTACAGAAACAGTAACAATAAGACATCACTAACACTTACGGGGTACTTACCCTGTGCCAGGCGTAGTGTTAACACGTTTCACAAATTCACTGTTCATTTCTTTTTCGCAACAACTTTAGTACCTGGGCAACTGGGGATTATTAAAACCAGAAAGCCAGGGATCAGAGTGGTTAATCACTTTTGAAACACTACATGCCTCTGTAAGTAACAGCAATAGCCTCTTGTCATGTATTTTCTTTGAGAGTGATGTAATAGGTATTTTCTGTGTTGTAGGATCTGAAGAAAAACCACTGCGTTCTGGTGCAGCGCAGTTCTCTGAGTCCCTAACCCATGAGAGTTAAGGACTGTGTCTCTAAGGGGCAGCATAGCCTAGTAGCTAAGATTGTGGGCACTGGAGCCAGGGCCAGCCTCGCAGGATTCGAATCCCAGCTCAACCATTGACAAGCTGTATGTCACTAGCAAAGTTCCCTAACCTAATCGTGCTTCCATTTCCTCAAATGTAAAATGGTGACAATAACAGATCTACTCCTTGGAGCTGGGGTAAGGAACGAATGCTTAAATACTTGTGAAGCCCTTAAACAGTACTTGCCTTCCAGAGCAGTGACTAGACTTTAGCTACCATTATTTCTGTTACCTAACTTGAATTAGTTAAGATTCGAAGTGCACAAGTAACTTAATGAAAATGTTATAATGTCTGAATTTGTTCCTCGTGATGGGGATGACCGTTGGCAAAGGCAAATCTGGGAAGCCTTCCAAGGAAGGAAATGCTTTCATGGAATTTGTGTGATGACTTGAGAGCAGCCATACTAGGTGACCTTGGAGAGGCCCTGATCTGACCTGGCACCGTCCATGTCAAACGTCAGTTCTCTGCATGGTTTTAGAGTATTGCAATATTTATCATATACTGGTTTGGCAATTCCCTTACCCATGATATGTAGGCTGAGAATTTGCATGGCACATGGGGGTAGGGTTTTCTCCTGAATGCTCCAGAGATCTGTGTTTCTGTGTTGTTTGCATTTTCCTAAGAGCAGATGTTTATTAAAAAAAGAAAAAAATATTTAAAGATAACATTCGTCAAAATGGTAATGTGTACTATGTTTTGTTTTAAGTACTTTATAGGAAGTAACTCATTTAATTCTCACAACAATCCTGTGAGGTAGGGTCCATATTATGACCATTTTACAGATGAGGAAATTGAGACACAGAGAGCTTAAAGTACTTGCCCAAGGTTACCCAGCTATTGAAACCAGGTTCCCATTCCACATGTAAGGATCTTGGAAGGTGCCACTTCATCCTCACACCAAGTAAAAACTTAACAGACTGAAAAATCAACAATTCTTGAAAGAGAGGACACAGAGCAGCCTGCTGCCCCCAAGACTAGAGACCAACAGGCAAATACAGGGAGTTGACATTTCCCAGAGCACAGACCGGAGAGTGGAGACTGCCGTGGGAACCTGCGCCAGGGTAGGAAAACCCGAGCTGTAATTAATGAATTGCTAGAGGTTCAGTGCAGACAATTCTCAGAGTTCAAAACTCCACGGGACCTGGGACCCGGTCATAGAAGGACCTCCACAATACTGTGAAACTTACCTCCAGGAGGTGGACCAGTGAAAAATCCCCTAGGGCTTCTGACAGGGGAAGGGGGAAAAGAACACATTTGAAATATGCCACAGCGCTCTGTTCTTAACCAGGCCTGCCCTCAGGGGAAAATAGTTAAACAGAACTTAACCTGCTGGAGGATTATCAGAGCCTAACTGACCTGGGGAAGAGGAGTGTCCAGTTGCAGCCACCTCTAGCCATCCTGTCCCACCTAAGGAGGGAGAATAAGACTGAGAAACACTTGTGAAGTTCACAGTCCAGAGGCACAGGCTCACGAAAAAACAGAGATCTAATCATAAGACTTGAATGCTTCCCCTCCCCTCACACCTAACCACCACATTACTAAAGACCTATTTGTAGCCATTCCTTTTACCCAGCACAATATGTCTAGCCATTAAGAAATATTACAAGGCGAAAAGAAACCTCCACAATTTGAAGAGACAAAGCAAGCATCAGAACCATTCGTGGTCGGGATGTTAGAATTAACAGATTGGGACTTTAAAAAAATATATGATTAATAGGCTAATGACTAAATGATAAAGAAGGCAGTATGCAAGAACAGATGGACAATGTAAGCAGAGAGATGGAAATCCTAGGAAAGAACCAAAATGAAATGCTAGACAGAGATTAACAAAAAAACAAGTGACAGAAATGAAGAATGCTTTTCATGGACTTATTAGTAGCCTGGACACAACTGAAGAAAGAATCTCTGAGCTAGAGGAGATTCAGTCCTTGAAAACCAAAAAGCAAAGAGAACGAAGACATAAAAAACAAAAATAGAACAGAATATTCAAGGACTGTGGGAAAACTACCGAAGATGTAACATTCATGGAATGGGTATACCAGAAAAAGAAGAAAGAGATGGGAACAGGAGAAATACTTGACACAATAATGACTGAGAATTTCTCCCAAATTAATGTCAGACACCAAACCACAGATCTTGGAAGCTCAGAGAACACCAATCAAGTAAACACCAAAAGAACTACATGTCAGCATATCATTTTTAAATTACAGAAAATCAAAGATTTAAAAAATCCTGAAAGAAGCCAGAGGGAGAAAAACAAACAAAAAAACAAAGAAAAACCCCACTATACCTATAGAAGAACAAAGATATGAATTACATCTGACTTGTCCTCAGAAAGCATGCAAGCAAGAAGAGAGTGGAGTGAAATATTTAGTGTTGAGAGAGGAAAAAACATCAACCTAGGACACTGTACTCTGTGAAATTATCCTTCAGAAGTGAAGGAGAAATAGAGTCTTCTTCAGCCAAACAGAAATTGCGGGAATTTTGTTGCCAGTAGACCTGCCTTTTAAGAAATGCTAAAAGAAGTTCTTCAGAGAGAAGGAAAATGATACAGGTCAGAAACTCAGACCTCCATAAAGAAAGAAAGAGCACGAAAGAAGGAATAAGTAAAGGTGAAAAAGAAACTTATTTTTTCTATTCTTAATTGATCTAACAGTTCAAATTGATATCAACTTGATAACAGTTTGTTCAGATAATAAAATAGCAACAATATATTCAATTATATATGCTTATATGTATATTATATGTATATACATGTGTGTATGTGTACTTATGTGTGCTTATGTATAAGTGAAATGAATGATGGAAATGATACAGGGACAGGAGGGAGGAATTAGGATTATTTTGTTACTAGAAGGTACTTACACTACCTGTGAAGTGGTACAGTATTATTTTAAAATGGACTTGGATTAGTTGTAAATGTATATTACAGACTCTACAGACTCTAATAAAAATAAAAATTGAAGTATAACTTGATATGCTAAGAAAGGAGAGAAAATGGAATCATATAAAATGCTCAATTAAAATCACAAAAGGCAGGAAAATGGTGGAATACAAAAATGAGAACAAAGAATAGGGGCAGCAAATAGAATACAGTAACAAATATGGTAGATACTAATCCAGCTATATCAGTAATCACTTTGAATGTCAGTGGCCTAAATGCATGAATTAAAAGACAAAGATTGTCACAGTGGATCTAAAAACATAACCCAACTATATGTTGTCTACAAGAAACCCACTTTAAATATAAGGACACTCTATATTTAATATAGATTAAAAGTAAACAGATGTAGAAAAACATACCGTGCTAACACCAATCAAAAGAAAGCAGGAGGAGCTATATTACTTTCAGACAGAGCAGACTTCAAAGGAAGGAAACTTATCAGGCATAATGAAGGACATTACATAATGACAATGAGGTCAGTCCTCCAAGAAGACATAACAATTCTTAATGTGTATGTACCTAGCAACAGAGTGTCAAACTACATGAGAGAAAAACTGATGGAACTTCAAACAGAAGTAGATGAATCTACTGTCACAGTTGGAGACTTCAACACCCCTCTCTCAGAAATGGACACATCCAACAGACAGAAATCAACAAGGATATAATTGAACTCAACACCACCATCAATCAACTGGATATAATTAATTAAGACTACTTAATTCAACAACGGCAGAATACATATTTTTTTCTCAAGCTTATATGGAATATTCACCAAAATAAACCACATTCTGGGCCATTAAACACACCTTAACAAATTTATAAGAATAGAAATCATATAATGTCTCTTCTCAGCCCACAGTGGAATTAAACTAGAAATCGATAACAGAAAGATAACTGGAAAATCCCAAAATATCTGGAGATTAAACAACACATTTCTAAATAACACGTGGATCAAAGAAGAATTCTCATAAGAAATTAAAATATTTTGAAACAAACTAAAATGAAAAAACAACCTATCAAAATTGTGGGAGGTAGTGAAAATAATGCTTAGAAGGAAATTTATAGCTGGAGGTTGAAGCAATCACCAGTGGCCAATGATTTAATCAATCATGCCTATGTATGAAGCTTTCATAAAAACCCAAAAGGACGGGTTCAGAGAGCTTCTATGTTGATGAACACTTGGAGATTTGGGGAGAGTGGCATGCTTCAAGCAAGCACAAAAGTTCCTTGGGGGCTTCCCTGGTGGCGCAGTGGTTGAGAGTCTGCCTGCTGATGCAGGGGACACGGGTTCGTGCCCCGGTCTGGGAGGATTGCACGTGCTGTGAAGCGGCTGGGCCCGTGGGCCATGGCCGCTGGGCCTGCGCGTCCGGAGCCTGTGCTCCACGGTGGGAGAGGCCACAATGGTGAGAGGCCTGTGTACCGCAAAAAAAAAAAAAGAAGAAAAAAAAGAAAAGAAGTTCCTTGGCCTTTACCCCTACCTTGCCCTACACATCTCTTCCAGCTGCATGTTCATCTGTAGGCTTTATCACATCCTTTTATAATAAACCAGTAATCTAATAAGTAAAATGTTTCAGTTCGGTGAGCAGCTCTAGCAAATTAATCAAATCTGAGGAGGGGGTTCATGGGAACCTCTGATTTATATAGCCAGTCAGTTAGAAGTACAGGTAACAACTTGGACTTGCAACTGGCATCTGAAATCCAAGGAGGGGGTCTGTGTAACTTCCAATCCTTAGCCAGTTAGTCAGAAGCACAGGCAATAACCCGGGCTTGCAGCTGACATCTGAAGAGCAGGGCAGAGTCTTGTGGGACTATACCCTTAGCCTGTGGAACATGATGCTATCTTTGGGTAAATAGTGTTATAATTGAGCTGAATTATAAGACACCCAGATGATGAACCAAGCATTGTTTGTGGTGTGTAGAACCCCCCTCACACACATTGGAAATTGGTACCAGAACCCCTTTAGCAAGGATGTCCCATTCCACCACTCTTTTTCAACATAGTACTGGAAGTCCTTGCTAATGCAATAAGGCAAGAAAAGGAAATAAAAATTATACAGATTGAAAGGGAAGACATAAAACTGTCTTTGCTTGCAGATGATGTGAACATATGTAGAGAAAATCCAAAAGAATCAACCAAAAAACTACTGGAACTAGTGAGTGATTTTAGCAAGGTTGTAGGATACCAAGTTAATACACAAAAGTTAATTGCTTTCCTACATGCCAACAATGAATAAGTGGAATGTGAAATTAAAAACACAATACCCTTTACATTAGCATTCTCAGAAATGAAATACTTACATATATATAAAACAAAACAAGATCTATATGAGGAAAACTGCACAACTACAAAACTCTGAGGAACAAAGTCAAAGAACTAAATAAATGGGGATATATTCCATGTTCATGGATAGGAAGACAGTATTGTCAAGATGTCAGTTCTTCCCAACCTGATGTATAGATTCAATGCAATCCCCAGTAAAAAAAACCCCAGCAAGTTATAAAATTTTATGGATTCTAAAATTTGTATGGAGAGGCAGAAGACCCAGAATCACCAACACAATGTTGAAGGAAAAGAGCAAAGTTCTTCAAAGAAGTGATGCTATCCAACTTCAAGATTTACTGTAAAGCTTCAGTAATCAAGATAATGTGGTGCTGGCAAAAGAATAGACAAATAAATTAATGGAACAGAATAGAGAGCCCAGAAAGAGGCCCCATTAAATATAGTCAACTGATCTTTGACAAAGGAGCAAAGGCAATATAATGAAACAAAGACAGACTTTTCAACAAAGAGTGCAGAAACAACTGGACATTCACATGCAAAAAACTTAGTTGATCTTGGGTGTGGCGATGCCTACTTAGATATAACACTAAAGACACAATTCATAAAAGAAACTATTAAGCTGGATTTCATGAAAATTAAACTGCTCTGTGAAAAGACAATATCAGGAGAATTAGAAGACAAGTCACAAACTGAGAGAGAGTATTGGCAAAATAAAGGACTATTATCCAAAATATACAAAGAACACTTAAAATTCAACAATAGGAAAACAAACAACCCAATGGAAAAGCAGACCAAAAATAGACCTTAAGAGACACCTCACCCAAGAAGATATATAGATGGCAAAGAAGCATATGAGAAGATGCTCCACATCACATGTCATCAGAGAAATGCAAATTAAAACAATGAGATACCACTACTCACCTATTAGAGTGGCCAGAATCTGGAACACAGACAATACCAAATCCTGACAAGGTTGTAGAACAACAGGAACTCTCATTCACTGCTGGTGGGAATGCAAAATGGTATAGACTTTTTGGAGGTTTCTTACAAAATGAAACATACTCTTACCATACAGTCCAGCAATTGTGCTCCTTGTATTTGCCCAAATGGTTTGAAAACTTAACACCCACACGAAAACCTACATATGGATGTTTATAACAGCTTTATTCATAATTGCCAAAACTTGGATGCAACCAAGATGCCCTTCAGTAGGTAAATGGGTAAATAAGCTATGGTACATCCAAAGAATAGAGTATTAGCGCTAAAAAGAAATGAGCTATCAAGCCATGAGAAGACATGGAGGAACCATAAATGCCTATTACTAAGTGAAAGAAGCCAATATGAGAAGGCTACATACTGTATGATTCCAACTATGTGAAATTTTGGAAAAGGCAAAACTATGAAGAAAGTAAAAAGATCAGTGGTTGTTAGGGGGTGGGGAGAGATGAATAGGCAGAGCATAGAGGATTTTTTAGGGCTATGAAAATACTCTGTATGACATTATAATGATAATAGATATCATTATGCATTTGTCCAAACCCTTAGAGTTTATAACACCAAGAGTGACTCCTAAGGTAAACTGTGCACTTTAGATGACTATGATGTATCAAAATCGTTTCTTCCTTGGTCAAAAATGTCCCATTCTGGTGAGTGATGTTGATAATGAGGAAGGCTATGCTTGGGTGGGGGTAAGGTTTGTATGGGAAATCTCTGTACTTTCCTCTCAATTTTCTTGTAAACCTAAAACCGCTCTAAAAAATAAGTCTTAAAAAATTAAGCCAGGATTTGAACCAATGCAGTAAGAGCGTTGAACCCCAGAGTCCCTACTCCCAATTACTATACTACCAGTAAGTATGTAAATCCCTTAGCATGCCTGAAATCACAAACCTAAGAATGGCAAAAATAGTATCTTTCAGATTAAAGAAAAATGCATGATCTTTGTTTATTAACATCAGTCTTTGTCACATAGCTCTGGTTTGACAATATTTATTTCTTTTAAACAGACAGTAATGCAGGCTCTGCTGGATCTCCTAGAGATGGAAACAAATGAACAAAAGAGTCCCAATTATGGGCTCTTACTACTTTGGGCTTCTCTGTCCAATGCTGTCCCTGTAAGTATATTAGTAAAGGAAGGATTGCATTTCTGTCTACTGTACTTTCAGGTTTTCCCTTCATTTTTCTTTCTGTTTTTTTTTTTTTTAATTCTTTTCACTTCTTATCATGGGGAAGAAAAAGACTGTAATGGTTGTGAGATAGAAAAACAAAACTGAATGCCTAAGGAAATCTGATAAGATCACAAAGGAGGCAAAGCAGAGACCTGAAGTGAATTCTGCCCTTTGAAAGGCAGCATGTAACAGGGGAAGGGAAACATTTGCACTTTGGGGTCAGTTGTGACAACACCTGTATATGCAGCGCTTTCTGTACTTTCCATGTCAGGCAACATGCTTAGTATTGGTGCTGCAAAGATAAGTAAGGCTTGACCCCAGACATTTACTGGGGAGAGAGTAGGTAAACGGATAGTTCAGTTAGAATTGGACTTGAATCCAGACATCCCAGCCATAGCCATAGAATCTCATGGAGGTAACGAACACTCTTAGCCTCCATTTCCTTATTGGTAAAAAAGGGATCATAAGACTCCTAGTATGGTCCTAGACTCGGGTACTTAATAAACGGTAACGCTCATTTCTCTGCGAGATTGTTGTGAGGATTTAGCGAGATAAGCCCAGCGGCCACCCAGTGATCATGAGTTCTTTGTCGACCCCTGAACCCGTTCTCCTTCTATGCACCACTCCTGTTTGCATTGCTTGGCATCGTGGTCCTGTAAGCTTCCCCATGAATGGAGCTGGTGACACTGGGACTCACGATACTTCGAAAGAGAGCAGAGATTTTTGAACTGGTTTTTTTTAAGCTGTTATGAACTAGAATACAGCCACGAGGTTTGTCTAGCACTTCATGTTCGATGCACAGCAGTTTCCTGCATCAGGAGGATTTCATATCAGCTTAAGCTGCACTTAAATTATTTGAGAGATTAAAGGGTAAACTTTTTATGTATTTGTTTTCTACTAAATAAGAACTTTCAACCTATCTATAATGATAAAGGTATTCATTTTTTCTTTCTAACAAATAGAAATAAGATGTGTTAAGTATTATTTGTTTCTCCTTCCTCTTATAAAGGTTGTAGAGGGCTTTCTAAGTACTGATATTCTAGTTGTCTTTAACCCATTATACACTAACTGGGTAACAGAGCAGAAATAGAACTTCTGGCTTCTCTGCTCAAATGTGTGTCAGCCACTAAAATATGTATTTCATCTGGCATGGGCAAATAAAAGTAGTCTAACACTTTCCTCTTCTTTAGGTATCTCTAATATTATTCTCTGATTTTTCCTTATACAATTTTCTTGGAAACTGATTAAGCTAGAGCAAAATTAAAAGGCAAATATCAAAACAACTCCCAAAGCAGCAACAAAACAGCCACTCCTGTCACAGGATTAATTTTCAACATCTCATTAGAAAGCCCCCCCCCCCAGAAGAAAGGGACACAAAGCCTCATTGATCTGACTCGGGGAGTCAGATTTTTGGAATTTGTTCCTGGCACTGGTGTGAAAGAATTTAAGTCAATTGCAGAAAGCAAGTGTCTGATGATCAGCAGAAGTTCCATCTTGCTGGCTCTTGTTGGCACTAAGAGGCAGCTGGTGTGTGGGCAGAGACCCTGGACTGGCTTTAGAGTCAGGTCCAAAGGCAGATCCCACGGCTGGGTGACAATGGGCCAAGTGTTTCACTGTGACCCTCAGTGTCCTTATCTGTAAAATAGCATGAATGTTATCTACCTCATAGGATACTATGAGGATTATATTTTTAAGAAGTGGAAAGGGGCTAACAGTCCCTGGCTCAATAAATGTTAGCTTTCTTTTCTTATAAAAAGTAACACCATGGTTTCAATCAGTCATTTCTTTCAATGGCCCACTAATAATGAACTGCCTTGGCTTCCAAAACTTGACCTCTCAAATGCCCAAGGGTGGGAGTGGCCACTGCTGTCCTGGCTTCTGTGATCTCCCAAGGCGGCCAGGAGAGCTGCCAGAAGGCCTGCCAGGGGCCTGTGCTTTCCTGGTGCCTAGATCATTCTCTTCTACTCTGTGCTCTGTCTCTAGGACCACGGAACTCAGAGCTCAGGCTTCAGACAGGCTTGGTACAAGGCACCAGGAAGCCCTGTTATGAGACCAGAGTCTAGGTGAACTTCGGTGGACTGGCCCAAGATATTAACCATGATTTATGAAATTATTTCTATGGGAAAACCATTTCCAAGTCCCAAGAAATTCCTGGCTGCCAAATGTACTTTTTAAGAAAACTTTTCCAATCCTCAAAGCTGATGTTTTACCTTTTTAATCTGCTTCTCTGAAGCTCTTTCTAAACACTTTCAGTAGTGACTTCCCCACCTCACTCTCAATTCCCACAGCATTTATTGGTTACTCTTTTATATGCCTTTCTTTTCTTTTTAAAAGAGTAATTTTTTAATTAAAAAATTTTAAGTAGAATATAATATAGATTTTTAGAAGAGAGATCCGTTAAGAGGCATCAAACAGTAACTAACACCACTGCACAACCATTTATAGTTTAACTGAATTCCTTGAGTTTGCTTTAAAATAAGGTATTACCCAATTTTAGTGAATCTCTAAAACTCTAATTAACCACGTAAAACTCTAAACCCCTCTTTTGTGTAACTGAAAAATCTATGTACTATCACTAAGATATATATTTTCCCCAACATGAACTCTTGAGTCTTTAAATAACGAGGTCCTACTGTATATCACAGGGAACTATATTCAGTATCCTGTAGTAAACCATAATGGAAAAGAATATGGTAAAGAATATATATATATATAAAAAACTAAATCACTTTGCTGTAGAGCAGAAATTAACACGTTATAAATCAACTAAGCTTCAATAAAGTAAGTTAAAAAAATGATGGATTGAGTATGGAGTGCTTATTAATTAAATCCAATAATTCAGCACTTCCATCTATAGAGAGTATAGAAGGGGCCCACGTGGGGAGACATGTTGAAGAGAGCTGTCTGAGCATGTTTCCTCTGTAAAAATGAACTAGTTGATCTCTAGGGTAGGCCTTTCCTAATCTGGAAAATGCCACAGAAAGTGGATCTTGGGATAGAGGCCTCAGTTCTCCTGTTCACTTTGTTTATGTAAACAGCACCACGTTTATGCCCACAGTATCAGTTTACTGTCACAAAGGGGAAAACAATGAGTAGTATTGAATTTGGCTTTGTCCAAGCACCTCCTTTCAGACCGTTGTTCTTCCTCTTTTGACCACAGAGGGGAGTATTGGGATCATTTAAAGGTGTTTAACAGTCCCTCACAAGAGACAGAAAGACTTAAGTAACACAGTGTTGTCTGAGTCTTTTCAGGATTGGTTTTCCTAAGATGAAATTTCTTTCACAATATGTGTTTACAGAAAGCAGATGAAAGGGACCCAATCTTCTTTTAATGATTTGATACGTTTCCTTTAATGTGTAACCTAAAAATAGAAGCAAGAATATCTACCTGAATTAATGGAAAATTAATTTTTTTTAGTAGAAGTATAGATTATTTACTCTATTGTGTTAGTTTCAGGTATACAGCATAGTGATTCAGTATTTTTTCAGCTTATACTTCATTATAGGTTATTACAAGATAATGAGTATAATTTCCTATGCTGTACAGTACATCCTTGTTGCTTATCTATCTTATACATAGTAGTTTGTATCTGTTAATCCCATACTCCTAATTTATCCTTCCCCGCTTCTCTCTCCTTTTGTTAACCACAATTTTGTTTTCTATATCTGTGAGCCTGTTTCTGCTTTGCATGTACATTCATTTGTATTATTTTTTAGATTCCACATGTAAGTGGTATACAATATTTGCCTTTTTCTGTCTGACTTATTTCACTAAGCATACTATTCTCTGGGTCCATCCACATTGCTGCAAATGTCAGTATTTCATTCTTTTTTATGGCTGAGTAATAGTCCATTGTATATATGTACCACATCTTCTTAATCCAATCATCTGTTGATGGACGCTTGAGTTGCTTCCGTGTCTTGGCTACTATAAGTAGTGCTGCTGTGAACACTGGGGTACATGTATTTTTTGTTTAATTAGTATTTTCATTTTTTCAGGATATATACCCAGGAATAAAATTGGTGGATCATATGGTAGTTCTATTTTTAGTTTTGCTTTTTTTTTTTTTTTTTTTGCGGTACGTGGGCCTCTCACTGTTGTGGCCTCTCCTGTTGCGGAGCACAGGCTCCGGACGCACAGGCTCAGTGGCCATGGCTCACGGGCCCAGCTGCTCCGCGGCATGTGGGATCTTCCCGGACTGGGGCACGAACCCGTGTCCCCTGCATCGAGCAGGCGGACCCTCAACCACTGCACCACCAGAGAAGCCCCCTATTTTTAGTTTTTTAAGGAACCTCCATAATGTTTTCCATAGTGGCTGCACCAATTTACAGTCCCAGCAACAGTGCACAAGAGTTCCGTTTTCTCCACATCCTCACCAACATTTGTAATCTGTAGACTTTTTGATGATAGCCATTCTGACTGGTGTGAGGTGATACTTCATTGTGGTTTTGATTTGCATTTCTCAAGTAATTAGAGATATTGAGCATCTTTTCATGTGCCTGTTAGCCATCTGTATGTCTTTGATGTTTAGCAGTGTAATTTTATCTTATAATACCACAATGAGGAAAGATATGAAATAATTTTGTTTGGTCTAGAGTGAGAACTTGCAAACATACTATGTTCAGTAATACCCTATAAACTTGCAAGCACCCTTTTTCAATGGGGTATGAAAGGACCCTAGTTTTGATATAAGTACTCTCATAATTTAGTTGATAAGATTTTAGGTATAGTTTCTGGGGCTTATTTAAAATTACCATGTTTCATTTGCAGAATATATGATTTGCTAATTTATTTATACTTCAAGGAATTACATCTTGAAAAATGCCTTTGTTTTGGACTAACATTCTTAAGTGTCATAATTTGTTGCTCCTAAATTTCTTATATGTGCTTATATAATATTTTATGTTGTATATTAGTACAATAAAACACCCTGCTTTTCCCATTTTTTTTAGTGAAAATAGTTTACTCTATATAAACAATATTGTGAAACTATAGTGGCAGAATAAAATCATAAATTTGACCCCTTAGAGATATGTAACATCTCTTTTGTTCATAAAATCTAGTTGTTTTCAAAGATACTCTTTACTAACATGCTTTTAAGTTTAGTTTAAGTATCTCCTTGTTTCTTTTAAATGTTTGTGGCTAATACTGTGTATGCTTTTGTTCACGTTCACAGAAGGTTGTATGTTTTGACATATGTTTTTCTTTTTAAGGTTGCATTCTGGACATTTGCATTTGTCCTCTCTCATCCCAATATCCACAGGACCATTGTGGAAGGCATATCATCTGTGTTTGGCACAGCAGGTACTAAAACTGAATTAAACTGCATTATTGAAGAGATATCTAATAATGTGTGCTTGTCACACATTATGGGCAAAGTTAAATGCCCATAATTTAATAGAATTTCAAAGTAGTCCAAATTGAACATAATTTGTTATGTGCTTCAGGATATAAATTGATCAGGTAGGATCCTAGAATTTAATTACTGTCAAGGATTTTAGAAGCCACCTGGACCAACTCCCTTATTTTCCGAATGATGAAACAGAGATCGTGACTTGCCTAAATTCCCTATTTAAACATAAGTGTATAATGCACCGGGTTTTTCTTCTAATCTCTTAGCCCCTTGCCTCAATTGAACTACAAGTCATAGTTTTGGAATTCAGGGTTTTCCAGATTTTATAAAAGTAATGTGGTGCATATTCCATGTACTGTTTAACAGTATTAATGGGATATGGATGTCAGGTAAGGCTACAGCACCAAAGGAATTATTTTCAAAGTTACAGTTTTTAGAGGTTGAGTGGGTTAGAACTGCAGGTAGAGATTGCTACCTTGCACTTTTTGGTCCAGATTTGGGCTCATCCATTATCGTCAGTTTTAAAAAGCAGAAATAAGCTTGAATGGAGAAGTTTCCACTAGTTTATTCAGCATAAATTGACCTGTTTGGGAGTAGATTTTTTTTTAAACCCTTTAATATGTCAAATTATATATTCTGATGTAAAAAAATAATAAATGACTTGGTTTTCTTGGAAGAACACAATATTAATAGTAAGACAAAAGACCGTGATGCCAATGAACAATTATCCCTCCTCTCCTTCGTGATTGCTGGACGTATTTTATTGGATTTTTCAATTTATTTTGACTGCTTCTTATTGAGTTAAACCAAAAATCAAATTGGCTTGGCCAACATGGATATTGAAGCCATACTGTCTCTGAGCCTTGGGTGTGAATCACCAGATGCTAGGTCGTATTTCACAGACATGGTGAGCATTAGAATCACTGAGTACCAACAGTGCTAACAAGTGAGATTCTGGAGATACACTGGTGGATGTAAGAGGTGACCTGCCTACATGGAGCTTACGTCTACAAAGCTAATGGAAATGTGCCTGCCTGCGTGTCTACAAATGACAAAGGGAACGTGTTCTTGATCATCACATGCTCTATCTTAGCAGAGTCTGCTCCTGACATAGGGTTCTCCAAATTCCTGGTCTTTAAGAAATAAAAAGGTAGTGATGGGGATGGTTGGGGTAATATGGGGAGCCTCTCTGACCCAAAGGCCACAGCAGAAGCCTTACATTAATTGAAATTTCTGCTGTGCTTGGATGTTGGACTCTTGAACACAGTTCTAGTGGAGGAAGACAAAACTTTTCCCCTTTTTCTATATTCTTGTTTACTTTTAGAACCTATTGTTCTCCTCTGACAGAAAAATTCTCCTTCAAGTAGTAGTACCGGTGTACTAGCTATAGTATATCAGTGCTTTCAGTTTATAAAAGATCAAACGTTTTTTCCCTGCTTGTACAGAAGCAGTTCAGATCAATTGAAGCATAAGATGTAGCAGCTCAAGAATTTACATATTGTGAGTGAAGGCCACAGATCTTTGGAGGTTGATATCAAGGGAGATATCCATGTGCCCATACAAAGGATCCTGTCAAAGGAAGGACATTAAAGTGCATGAAATAAGAATCAGACTGAGTATGGCATTTCTCCCATTCTTTTGCTCTTTTCTTTTCTTTTTTTTTTTTTTTAAAGTTAATTTATTTGGCTGCGCCGGGTCTTAGTTCCAGCATGCAGGATCTAGTTCCCTGACCAGGGATTGAACCTGGGCCCTCTGCATTGGGAGCACGGAGTCTTAACAACTGGACCACCAGGGAAGTCCCTATAATGCCCTTTTCTATTACAAGATTACCTTTTCCTTCTTTGAAGACGCTTTTAGTGAACTTCTAACTCAGCATCTCTCTAGCCTCAATACTCACCGCTAGAGCCCATCCCGGACACTTGGCCCAACTTCCTTATAAAATAAGTCTGAGGGTAAAAGCTGCTGTTGAATACTTGGTCTTTTGTGTCTGGCTTCTTTCACTTAGTATAATATTATATTTTGTATGTTGATGTTTTAAGTTAGTTGATTTTCAGATGTTGAACCCCCTTGCATTCCTGAGATAAATTTTTAGTTATGGTGTGTAATTCATATAAAACATATGACTTTATATACGTTGCTGGATTCAGTTTGTTGAGGAATTTTGCATCTATATTAATAAGATATATTGATTTATAGTTTTCTTTCTTGTGATATCTTTGTCTGGTTTTGGTATCAGAATAATTTTGACTTTATAGAATGACTTCAGAAGTATTTCCCTCCTCTTTTATTTTTTGGAAGCGTTTGTGAAGAATTGATGTTAATTCTTCTGTAACCATATGGTAGAATTCACCAGTGAAGTGATCTGGTCCAGAAATTTTCTTTTTTGAGACGTTTTTGATTAATTCAATCTCTCCACTTGTTACAGGTCTGTCCAGATTATCTATTTCTTCTTTTTAAAAATTGAGATATAATTGACATACAATATCCTATTAGTTTTTGATGTACAACATAATGATTTGATATATGTATATATTGTGAAATGGTTACCACAATAAATTTAGTTAACATCCATCACCACACATAGTTACAGCATTTTTCTTGTGATGAGAACTTTGAAGATCTGCTCTCTTACCAACTTTCAAATATATAATACAGTATTATTAACTATAGTGACGATGCTGTACATCACATCACCAGAAAAATATGGAATGCTTCACAAATTTTAGTGTCATCCTTGCACAGGGGCCATGGTAATCTTCCCTGTATCTTTGCAATCTGCTGAAGTGAGAACTATGTATTTCTTCTTGAGTCAGTTTTGGAGTTTGTGTCTTTTTAGGAGTTTATCCATTTCATGTAGGTTATTTAACTTGTTGGCATACAACTGTTCCTAGTTTTCCCCATAATCTTCTTTATTTCTGTAAGCGCACTAGGAAAACATCTCCCTCATTCTTAATTTTAGTCATTTATGTCCTCTTTCTTTTTCTCTTGGTCAGTGTAGCTAACGGGTTATCAATTTTGTTTTCAAAGAACTAACAGTTGATTTTATTGATTTGTTTGATCTTATTTTTTCTATTGATTTTCTGTTCTGTATTTCATTTATTTCTGTTCCAATCTTTATTATTTATAATTTCTATCTCCTTATCGATATTCTCTATTTAGTTCTTTAGACATGATTAATTATTTGAATATATTTAAAATATCTGATTTATAAGTGTTTCTTTAGTAAATCCAATGTCTGAGTTTCTTCAGGGATAGTTTCTATTGAATGCTTTTTCCCTGTGTGGACTATATGTTCTTGTTGCATGTCATATTTCATATTTTTTGTCATGTGTCTTACAATTTTTAAATTTTGTCCAATTTAAAGCTGGACACTTAAAATAATATAATGTGGTAGTTCTGGAAATCAGATTCTCCTCTCTGCTCAGGGTTTCTTATTATTGCTGTTTGTTGTTCTTGCTTGTTTGTTTGTTTACATAAGTAAATTCCAAAAATATTTGATGTTGATAAATGCTATGTGAAAAAGAAAACAGAGCAGATTAGGGAGGATCAAGGGTGCCAGAAATGGGGGGAAAGTGGTAGGTTTAAATAGTTGGATCAGAGTTGGCCTTCCTGGAAAGGTGATGTTGAGCAAGGACTTGAAGATGGTTAGGCGTTAGAAAACACATATCTAGAGGAAGAGCTGGTTTGAGTTAGAGACTGCAGGTGTGGCCTCACAGTGTTCTCACAGAATTCTCACAGGCATTAACATTTGGGTCCTATTTGGACTGTGTTTTCAAGCAATTTTCTTTTCTAATTTAGGATTCCCACTGTGAGTATCTGCCCACCAGCAGAAGGTCATTCGAACTTAAAAACAAACAAAAACAAATAAAAATGCATTTAAATTTTTCAACTGGTTGCATTTGGCCCTTTTCACCTTCTTGTGTTAATTTAGGGTAGCATATACAGCACACTTGTTTGTTTTTGTGTTGTTTTTTTTTTTTTTGCATGTGTGTATTGTTTTTGGTTTTTAGTGGCCATTCAGTTTTATTGCACATTTATTTAAGGGAAAAATTAGTAAATTTTTTTCTGTTAATTTACAAGGAATCAGGTTAGTTAACAGAAATGCACCTGCATAGAAACAATTCCTATCTTACATAAAATCATGATTTGTGGATCATAAAAGACACACTACAAAATTTTCCCTGGATAAAAGTCAGAAATTTGATTCATGACTTTCAATCCTGTCACTCACTAATTGTGTGATTTGGGATAAAAGAGAAAATTTACTCAGAGCCAACCAATAACGTTTCTTGACACCACTGTGTTCTGATTTAGCAGCAATCCTGCCTGGGGACAGACCAACACTGTCAAGTGACCAGATGCTATTACCTGGTGAAACTAACTTAATGGCTACACTCACCATGCACTGGTGAGGAAAGATTTCATCTCTGCTCATAATTATAAACAAGCATAAAAACTAGCAGAGTGATAAATGAGGCTCAGATCCTGTGATGATGTTCTAGGCACATTCCATGTTGTTTGCATGATTTTAATTAGTTCATCAGTTTTACTTCGTTGCATTTAAACATTTTCATTTATTCTTGAAATCTTCTCTGCAGTCATCTCTTACCCATGTTATAACGTATTCAACTTTTATCCGCTTGGATGTGTCCCAGTACCATCTAGAAAACCCATAGCAACGTCCTTGGAGGATTCCATCATGGCGTATGAAAGACCTGAGTCCCTCCAGCTCACTGAGAAGCTCACTCTTGCTACCCCTCTGCAGCCTGCCAGGGCTTGATGACTGATTAGCCAAAGTTGTGTCTGTGATGGAGCCTTGGCCCTTATGCCACATATCGACCAAAATATTGAAGAAAGAGATCAGCAGCAGAGCCAAGGCCACTACAATGGAGTTATGAATGGAGAAAAGTTATTTTATTTAAAAAAATTCTCTCCGTTCCCATTGCTAGCC